ATTAGTGGCGGTAAAGAACACACCCCAGATGAGACAGTGACAGTGTGTGTGTGTGTGTCGCGTGTGTGTTTACTTTCTGCATCATTTCTATGCAAATTGAAAGCGTCTTGTTCGTAGCATACTTTTAAGCGCGCCGCGAATACTCGATTGCAGCGCTTGAAAATTGAAATTTTTATCAATCTTTGTCGCTAATGTTTGTCAACATTTGACCCAAAATCAATTAAATTTAATGATTTTAAAGACAAAAGAACTCTCCGTCACACTCTCCCTTTTTTTCTTCGTTGATTGGCAACCAGCCATCCAAAGGTAGTCACAAAAAATTATCCAATTTAAAAGTCAAATGTCATTTTTTCGCATTTCTTCTTCCTTCTTTTTTTTTCTTGGCATGCCTTTTTGTTTGTTGCTTCTGTGTGAATTTTTTCTTTTCCGACACATAATGTGAATTACCTAACAAAGGTGGTGCTGCTGATGAGTTGACGACGAGGACGAAGACGAAGGACTTAGCTTTCAGGACAAGAAAAAAAGTGGCAAAAGGTGTCGCGCCGCCATATTCATTCCAGCCTCTTGGGATGCTCTTGCCAAGAAAAAAAAAAGTGTGGAAACTATGCAGGTTTTTCCTTCTGGGAAGGAAAAATATACATCTGTTGGGGAAATGTGTCATTCTTGGAAGAAATATATTTGGTAGCTTTACTTTAGGAAAAAATATATCTGGTAGTTTGCTTTCTGGGAAGGTAAATATTCCCAACAAGAGGTAGTAAAATAACTCACAAATATTACGAAATTCAAGAATCATTTAAAATTCATGGAAAATGTTTTTAGGTTGCATTAAAATAAAACTCTTTACATTTGAAACAAAAAAGTAGTACGACCGCATATAAAAATTTATTTAAAGTTAAAATTGATAACATATTCCGCTTCTCTCTTACATTTGCATTGAAATGAATATATGAAAAAAAGATAATTTAATAATAAAACATAAAACACATATTAATAAACCTTATTGTAATATAAATTCTTTAATTTAAATACCATTTCATAGAGCATTCCTTATTTCAACCTTGTAAAAAACTCAAAACCCTCTCTACCTGAATCTACCCTGTTTGACGGTTTTCCGTTTCCGCTTCCGTTTCTTCTTCTTCTGTCAGAAGACATTTCATTCTTTTCACCGGCAACGACAGAAAAATTACCCGAATTTCATTTAACGCTGGAACTTTGTCACTGGCAGCAACAAGGACACAACAAACACACTCTGTGTGTGTGTGTCTCGTACATGCAAAGTAAATGTGCTGAGTTTGTTAATGTGTTTGCATAAATTTCAAGGAAGAAAAAAACAGAAGGAGGAACTGAAAACAGCAAATAGGATATGATTATAGGAGACATTTTCTTGGGTTTAGCTTGGAGCAAAAGAAAACTCTGTGAGGAGTTTAAATAATAATATATATTTGTATTAAAAGTATTCTATATCCTTGTAATTTGGTGCTAGAGTCCATCTTCTAGTTTTAGCTTAAAGTTGTCTGGCATTAATCAGGCTAAGCACATTCGCCTGCTCCAACGAGTCGCAGATGCAATTGCTCTTCGCTTCAAATTGGATTGTTAGTTTTCAAACATCCTGGACACGTGTGTGGAATAAGGGGAGGGATGGGAGGTGGCAGGTGGCAGGTCACAGGTCGGGTTACCTGCATCACCAGCCACTCACCTGTGACGACAGGGCACCTGGTAAAAGGGAGAAAGTTGAGCTGTCAGAGAGTTTACATCAGCCCGCATGCTGGGCTGGGCTGGGCTAGTTCTGGGTGGGGAAATGGCTTGAGTGTCACGGGGTTAAGTGCACGGGAATGCCACTATCCCGTTTTAACCCCCTGCTGCCCGGGGTCGTTTGTCGTAATGCATTAGCTGTGTCAGAGGAGACCCGGAACCGGAATCAAAACTGTGGCCCTTTTCCGCTGCTCTCCTCTCCCCATTTCCAATTGTCCGAGAGCCCCAGAGGACCCCGTGGGTTTAGTTGTCCTTTTTATTTCTGCCTTGGCACTCTCCCTCCCCCCGGTTGACTTGCCGTGGCATTTATGAATAATGGATAACGCCTTACTCGCACCCACGGATGTCAATTGTTTATTTATTGTCTGATTGGATTGTCCCCACCGCCGAGGCCGCGACACTTGCACATAAAGAATTCATCGGCGTTTGCACTGCGTTTTGTGAGTAGTGAAAACACACATTTCAAGCGGGGGGTTTATGCGTTAGGGAACTTGCGGAAAAATTCGAGGAATTACTTGAATGAAAATTAATTTTTTAAAAGGTTTAAGCAGGCACAGGAAACCTACTTTCATATTTCACACAAGAAAGGAAACTAATTTCGAAAAGCTCAAGTTTATATATCCCATCAGTTTGTTATTGCATCAAAAGATCGAATCGAAAATCGATCTTAACTAAGCATTTAGTTAATTCGCATTTTATAATTTCGATATTGATCGATATTTTTACATACGATTTTTTTCGATAAATCAAAAATTAAAAAGCTCATAACTAAGCCAAAAAAGGATTAATTTTAATTCTAAAAACAGTCCTGTGCTAGCTTTTAATAGATTAATAAATCTTCATACTTAATTTAAAATGTAAAAATATTAAATTTTTTCAATTTTTTTTTTGTGACGCTTTTAACGATTAAAAAATGTGAAAATTTTGAAAAAAATAGATTTCGGTCGGACATAGCTAGATCGATTCGGCTGTTCGTGCTGATCAAGAATATATATAAATTATAGGGTCGGAAATGACTCCTTCACTTTGTTTCAAGTGTCTGACTACAATTATAATACCCTGCAAGGGTATAAATATGTTTAAGGAAGTTGTAGATTGTTTTTATTTTATTTAGCAGCAGGGGACACTTAATTTCATATGCTTAAAATATATTTTTTTTAGATATTATAAGACGTGATTAAATGCAATTCAAAGTAACTATTATTTTGTATAAGAAGCTTTGAAAATGTATCTTAAACATAATACATATTTCTATAAAAAAAAACCCTTCCCCCATCCCAAGTTGTATGTAACCTCAAAGTAATTTCTGATAACTTGTAACTCCTACAACTTAAACCTCAGTTGCACCACGAACAAAAAGGGGGAATAAATAAATATATATAATAAATCCTAAGGCAAAGCTCTCAAAATCCCGCCATAAACTTGCAATTGAATCTGGGCTAATCGCATATAGTGCCGCATGATCCCGAGCTCAAAAGTGAGTCGCATCTCGCACCTCTTCTCGGTGTGCGACTGGAGTGTCAATTACTCTTACTGGGTGCCAGGGCCATTGTGCCGTTCTACTACTATAACTACATCCTGATGCCGCCCCTGTGAAGTATCCTTGCGTGAATGTCCTAGCAACAACTTCCATGGCATTGTGCTCTCTCTCTCGCTGTTTGTGTTTGTGTTTGTCTGTGCTGATGTTTGGTCTCGCCTTGGAGAAATTTTTATGGCTCATAAAACTCGAAATTAGAACTGGTCCTGCCTGTGCCTCAGATACACAGGATACACAGGATATATATGTGTTTGTGCCTGTGCCTTGAGTATAAAATGTTTATGCGGGCCTGAGAGCATTTGGAAATCTGGTGCCGCCAAGTGGATTTTCTTTTCAGAATTAGTATTACATTTAAATGGCATATAATTTGTTAGCGCCATAATATTTATGCGACTTGTGGCCGTACACTTTTATTTATGTTCACTTGGCTGCCTTGGAAGAGGGGACTTGAAATGGGACTACGGAGGGGCGCGATCCCCAGCTGACAATCAAAGCGCACTTCTAAGGAATTGCGTTTAATTTGCGTCTCGCTTCGCACAATGCAGCCGCGCTACGCGGCGTATGCGCAATTTTTCACTGGCTTTTCCAACGACTACGACGACTCTGGGGGAAACAATTATTTATTTGTGTTGTTTTTCCGCTGCGTAAATGCGGAAATTTTTAATTGCCGCCTTAACGCGAATTTCAGTGAGTGCCTTTTCGAGTCCAGCAGAAAGTGGCAGAAAGAGAAAGTCCAGAAGAAAGTCTTGGTCTGATTACACTAACTCGGCGTCGACCGAGCGAATGCTGAATTATTATATTTTTTGAAGCGAGCGACCTTCGTGGCCATAACACAAAAATCGTAAATTTCAAAGAAAACATTACATTCCGGAAAAGCGAGCACAGCAAAGGGCATAAGGGAAAATGGGGAAAGTAATGAAAGAAGCTACGGAAAATAGTGAGGAAAATTTGATGAAAAGCGGAAATTTATGGTGAAGAAGGACAGGAGGACGACAATCGACGGCTGAGATTCTAAATTAGATATTTATTTTGTAACTCGATTTATGCACAATAAGAAAATATCTGTCTGAGTGATTCATTTCTGTGTACAGGATTCATTATTATTAATATTACCTGGCCTTGGAAATTCTGTTTAAAACCAATTTTAGAGCAAGGAGTTCTTAAAAATATTCATCAAAATACCCTCAGATTAACGAAGCTTAAGTAAAATTTATAAAAAAAAGTTATAAACATTTTCCCGTGTGTATATAACCCCCAATTTTTTGCCTTGTTTATCCAGTCGTAAGTGACGGCCCAAAGACTCTTCATTTTCTTTGCCATTTAAAAAAATCCATCTCGCTGTGTGTCCATTAACCGAGCTCTCTTCGTCATGCAGCGTGATTCAAAAACTAATCATTGGATTTTTCTATCCTCTATTTTTCAGGAGACGACGACTTTCGTCAGGCCATTGGGTGACACGAAGGGAAATGGAAAGCGAAGGAGCTCCCCAGTTCCTCCCCTCAAATCGGCGGCCGGCCACGGTGCGGATGCGTGATGTTCTCGCCGCGGCCTTTGACAACTGAAAATGCCAAAAGGTAGCATCGGGCAGGGAGCCGGAGAACTAAATCGATAACCACAGCACACGCGGCGGCACAAAGTGCTGATCAGCCAATCAAGGCGAGGAGCAACCAACTCGGCGATACAGGGGTGAACTCAAGGGGGGCCACAGAGACCCTCAGCCCGAGGATGCGGATGCAACTGGGCTGGGGCATGGTGTGGCTGCTGCTGGGGATGGGCTTGGGTGTGCTGGCACAGGCAGAGGAGCCATCAGTGGGATCCCCACGGAGTCGCATCAAGGCGGAAACGGAAACCCTGATGACGGGCGACAGCTTCAACATACGCCACGGGCGCTCTCGCTCGCATTTCCTCCTCCATGGCAATGGCAGTGGCACAGCCACTGGGAATGGGAATGCCATCAGTACCCGCCTCCTCCTGGTGCCGCCCACTCCCACCCAGCTGCCGAGCGGCACCTCCCCCGCACCGGTGACGCACAAAATCCGCAAATTGCACAAGAAGAAAATCAACGAGAGCATTCGCAAGAGCGTGGACAAGAGCCTGGGCCTGCTGCATCCGTCGAAGAACCATCGCAGCCTGGCCGAGGCCGAGCACCTGCAGGGGCGTCCGGCCAGCGAGGATACCGGCGAGGACCGGGCCCTCAGTGAGGTCATGCAGCTGGCGGATGAACTGGAGCTGGAGAGTTCACTGACCACGCCCCCCGATCCCAGTATCGGTGTCCAGCAGGCACGTCAATTTGTGCGTGCCAGTGCTGATGAAACCAATTACCAGGACCAGGACCAGGATCAGGAGGAAAACCAAACCCATGAGAGGCAGGTAATGCCAGAGGATGACGATGACGATGACGATGATGATGATGACGACGAACAGGAGGAGGAGGAGCAGCTATCCACCACAGCCAGACCCAGAACCCGCCTGCTGCCCGTGAATGGCACTTGGGAGAGAGCTGGCAAGACACTCCGCGATTCCTCCTCAGACTATGAAAACAATGACCTGGATGTGGAGGAAGATAGCCAACAGACGCTCAACCATCTGCAGCAACTCAATGACACCGAGTGGCCGGAGGGGAACCCCCAGAGAGAGCCCGAAGCGGAGGCCAGATCCCAGGCTGCCAGCATGGAAATCAAGCAGATAAGCTTTGACAGCGACTCTGATGCGGATTCGGATTCGGATACCGATGCCGGGCTGGACACATCCGAGGTGACCATGGACGATGGCTATCCTCCAGATGCCCAAATCGATGACAAGACCAAGCAGCTGGTCATTGGCGATGTGGAGGGCAGTGATTCGGATGCGGACAACATGGAGTCCAGCCAGATCACTGCCGATGTGATCAATGCTCGGGATAGCAAGATCGATCTGGTGTCCAAGTTCCTGCAGTACATTGAGCAGCAGCATCTGATGGGCTCCAACTGTGTGGCCGGCACATCGCTGAATCTGGGCGAGGGTGTGGTGGACCGGTATGCCCAGGACCGGTTCCGGGTGGAGGCCGAGGTGGCCGTCAATCGCGCCAATATGCTGACCAGGTGAGTTGCCTTGGCCAACTTTCCATCTGCCTTCTTTACATCATATTCATTCACACGCAAAAAGTTTTCCAATCGAAAGTTTTGTACAGACATGCAAGTGGAAATGAGAAATGGATTCAGAAATACATGTACACAATCGGGGTTAGGTAAATAGTGAAGGAAAATAAATTGATATCTTTTAGATAAATATATTCAAGCAGCTTGGGATCTATAACTCCCACTAATTAAATTTATTTAAATGTCTTGAGAGAGTAGTTCCCCAATAAGTTAAGTTTCGATGACAGGATGAAAAAATCTCCTTGTATTTGTAATGTAATCTTGTTTTTTTTGCGGACAAACTTTATTTAGTAATTTATGGTTCTTGTTCATGGATCTAGGGACACCAAGTCCACCTCTTCAGCTCCCAACTCCTCCCTGGGCAGGAGATCCTCCTCGGAGGGCGAGAAATCGTTGGCTATGTGAAAGGTCTGGCGAATCTCCTCGACCGTGTGTCCCTTGATCATATTGGCCACTGTCTGGCAGGTGGCATTCAGCAGCTTTTGGATATCCAGGTAGTTGGCCGCCAGGATCAGCTCAAAGAGTGTCCCCTGATCGACGGCGAGAAACTCCACGTCCCAGGGACTCAGCACTGTGAGGGGATTGAGCTCATCCTCCTCCTCCTCATTGTCATCGGCCAAGTCAAGGTCGGCCTTGTGGTGGTTGGCCCAAATTAAGACTTTGTTCAGTATCATCGAGTTCACATTGGGCAGGGGAATAATCGGATTCTCTGCCGACTCTGCCTCCAAACAGCAATCCTCCAGCAAAGCCCTGATGGTCTTCGAGCACTTTGCCGTCTCCGCATCAGTTTCGAAAACTTCGCCATCGGAGGATTGCAACTTGATAACCGACATGGTTGCTACTAGCCACCTCTGCTCTGAAAGGGTAATTTCCACAAATACCAAAATTGTAAATATGAAAAAGGAAATTTTTGACAATTTCAAAAGGAAAATGATAGATATTGCAGAGGAAAGAGTGAAATCTAACTATGATCACAGCTAAAGTATAGTCTCTCTATTAAAGTAAACGAAACTATCATAGCTCCCTTTGAAAGTACATTTCACTTACAATTTTCATAGAATAATACCAAAGCAATGTGAGTAGAAAACTCAGGTTATTTTCTATAAATTTTCTCATCTGGAAAATGGCAAAGGCAATCATCGAGGAGTCCAGGACTTGGCCAGGACTTGACCAAGACTTTTCATTCTCCATCGGTCATCGCTCACGTTTCAGTAGTTAGTCGCCAATTTCTGGCCATACAGATTGGCTGGCAAAGTGGCCTTCGATGGCAACGAGCATAATGTGCTTTTCTTGTTGCGGCAAAACTAGCTTGTGCCACGATTTTCCTCCTCCGGCTCCGGCTTTTCCCCTCCCTCCCATCCCGCCGCCAATTTCTCTTCGCGTCTGCTTGGCTGCGTGCAATTTTTTGATAAAAGTTCAATTACTTAGCCTGGCCGGGACAAAAAGTTTGCGGCATTCCTGTGGCCAAAACGAGGAGCAGAGGACATTGATTTACCTGGCAATTCATTTGGGTCTCTTCTCTTTTTTTTTCTTGGAATTTCCCAGCTGTTCAGGCTGTTGAGGGAAAGGAAAAACTTTTTTCCCACCAGCTACGACGTCGATGTGTGTGATGTGATGTGATGTGTGTCTTTTGTTTTCCCCGCTGCCATGCTGAGCGTCCCTTCATCGATTTGGGCAGTGTATCGCATCGACCTAAGTGACAATCGCCAGGACATTCGAGGAGCTGCAATCTACCCAGTATCTGTTCCAGCATTCTTTCAGTTCTTTGCTTTTCCCCCCAGCACAAACAATAAACACCAAGTTTCATCAGATGTCGCATATGTGGGCACAGAGTCCTGTTCTTGGTCCGAATGTCCTTGCCTGCATACACGCATCCTATATGTCAATGTCCGTGTCTTTGGGACTTTCACGCAGACATTAGGGCAGGAATTTATGTCTTTCAGTTTTTCTTTAATGCCTCTCTCTGCGTCTCCTTTTTGGTCGAAGCACAAAAAACGAGGAGCAAAAAGAAGGTGATTTTCTATATATACATTAGAGTCCTGGCTTGGGTGTGGCTGTGGGATCCGTGCAACAGGCCAAGGATGTGATTTAGTCCCTGGACATAATTTTCAAGAACAGAAGATAACAACTTTGGGGAACTGATTGGTGAGCAGGAAATCAAGGACATTTGTCCACGGAAAACTCATTTGTTAAAAGCCACAAAAAATAAAGGAAGTGTAAGAGAGTGAGGAAGCAAGGACATGAATACAAGCTGACAAATCTAATGAACAAATGCCGCTTGTCAATAAAACGCACAAATAAACAATTAACCCAGCCGAGAGGGAGAGAGGGAGAAAGCAGCTTGACAAATTAAGTGACGGAGGGGAAATTTGGTGAAATGGAAAAGCCGGAAAACAGCGAAACCCCCCCCCCCAAAAAAAACAAGGAATAAGAGCAGCTGATGGTGTAACTTGGCCTGGGGAGCAATAAAATGTCAAAGTCGCACAACACACAGAGCTGTTAACGTCAAATGTCAATAAATTAAATTGCGCCTGGCCTCTGGATCTGGTTTTGGGATCAACATTATTGCATTTAGTGTCATATGCCAGACATTTGTTTTCATTATTTGTTCAATACGGGCGAATGTGACTCCTGGGACAGGGACTTTCCTGGCTCTAAAGCCTGGTCCTGTCCTACTGATTTATTCACTCCCTCCTCAGCCATAAATTCAAGGGAGAGGAGCAAGTCCTCGCCTCACTGCTTCATAATTTCCAACAGCTAATCACAGCGCCTGTTTTAATCAGTTTTGCTTGTGTTAACATAATCAAGGCTGGCCGGGAAAAACTTTTCCCTTTTTGCGTTATCCGGAGGGGGAGGAAATTAACAAGGAGCAGGAGCAGGAGCAGGAGCTAGGGTTTCCTCTCAAGATAGATACTAATTGAAGTTATTGTTTTGTGATACATTGTTATCGCTTTCCCTGTGATTCCGGCGGCGTCTGCTCCTTGTTCCTGCTCACTTTTCTCTTCTTTTTTGTGTTTGGGCATTTCCCGTTTACTTTGTAAGCAAAAACAAAACAAAACAAGAATAACATTTAAGGATAACAAAGAGCTGGGTTTCTGGATTGGGGGGAAAAAGGGAAAGCTGGCTGCTATAGAGGTGAGTGGAAAAAGGGATGGTTTTGCTTGGCAGGAAAACAATATCAATTCAACTTGAAATTACGAGCTTCAATTGTTTTCTTGCCTTGGCCACTTTTCGTTAGTTTCCGTTCACGCCATGTTGCCAAAGTGTAGACAGCAAACAAAAAGGACGACGACTCCTTTCACACCCTCTACACACACTCTACATAGCAGAGTGTGGCAACATGGCGGATGGAATCGGAAAACTTTTAAGTACTTAAATGTGTTGTCGTCGAGAGCGGTTGAAGAGCGAGAGAAATATCGAGCTCTGCTCTTTTTGGCTTTTCCCCGAAATTGAGTTTCCGGCTTTTCCAAACTCTTTTGTTTCCTGGCTAACTTCGAGTGCACATCGCTGGTATGTGCCAGGCAATGATTTTGTTTTTCTGCGGAAGCTCGGCGATAAACTTGGCAAATAATTTATTGCCTCTCCCGTTGCTTGTTTCAATTTTACTGCTGTTACTGTTGATGTTGCTGCTGCTGCTGCTGCTGCTGCTGCGTTTGGTTTCAGTTCAAACAACAAATCGAAATTGAAATCTGCATAAGCGATGCAGTTTCCAATTGCCAACGGCAATAAAACGCGACAGCGGCAAGGACACTACTTGCCGCTCCCAAAGGAGGTGCCTCCCAGACCCTGCTCGTTGTCATTGTCAACATCCTTCAAAAGTTCTCCTCCAAACGGAGGAAGCAAACAAAATATATATACATCCATATATGCAAGTCAATGTTCAGGCAATAGTTTCACACAGAAATAAATAGAAAAGAAGATTTAGAGATCTTTGGGGGCTTCACTTATAGCAATTTTTATATTTCAAATAGGTTTCCCTACAAAATAATACTTATTTTAATTTTCAAGTATAGTTCTTTATGAATAGACAATTTCCACGAACAAAAAATACATTTTAAAAGGTTGTTACGGCTTTAAAATAAATTTCCCTACGAAAAACTAAAGATTTTGAAGTTCTTTTTAAATTTGATTTACCCAAACTCAAAGAAACACAAACATGAATTTCTCAAGTATGAACCTTTTCTTCTTTTGATTTATCCCCGAAATCACATTAATTTTTCTCAGTGTATCCAACAAGGCCATGAAAATCAATGCATTTCCCCACCCTCTGTGGCTTGCCTTTCACTTGATTTCTCTCAGTGTTTGAATGTGTGCTTCTGGCTTTGGGACTTTGTGCCGCTTGATTTACTCGACTCGACTTTTGCCCGGCGGGCGGTGCTAATAACGCTGCCCCCTTCAACCTATTTCCACCTCTTTTCCCTACCATCCACCGCCCCCTGCCACGCCCACCAAGCCCCGACCACGCCCTTGCTTTGCGCTATTTTTATTGTTGCTGTTTTTGTTTGGTTGCTGCAGAATGCAACTAGCAAGTTGTCTAGCCCCGAAATGGAAATTGTTTTCATTTCTGAGCGAGGCAATCCTAATGTGCATTTTTCCCCCGCATTTGCCACTCTTTTCCCCTCGGCTGCCACAGGATTTTGCACCGCTTTTCCCGCAACTGGAAAACTGCAACTGACACGGACATGCATAAGGCCCCACACAGAGTCCGTATGTGTGGAAGCACTCGGCCGCGGACCTTTTTTCCAGCTGGTTTATTTCAGATTCTCACATCTGGGCTTGACTCCTGTGCCCAACGACTCCTGAATGCTGAATGCCAGAATCCTGAATGTTGAATCCTGAATGCTGTATCCTGCCCTTGTCTGCTGCCTGCTTGCTGGCGTTGTTGGATGTAAATGTTCCTGCTCGGGGTTCTCCGGTTCAAGTTCTGCTCGTGGCTGCTCCATATGGTTTTACCTCCGCCCCTTTCAGTTCAGGTTTTTACAGAAAGTACAGTCAAGCCTCACAAACAATGGATAACAAAAATACTAAAATCCAGAAGAATAGTAATCTACAAGCTCAAAAAAGTAGAAGTAGGAATTCTTATAACACAATTATATCTTATAAAGACGTCCAAATGTATTTCAAAGTACTCAAAACATCACTAAGACCCAAAAAAAAACATCTCTAATACTTTTTTACAACCTGAGATGTTTTAGCATAATTCTGATCACTCTTTCAAAGGTTTAAAATCTATTAGTAATTTCTAAAGCACTTTTTTACTGTCCAGAGTATTATGTACAATGTTTTGGCATAATTTTGTATTACTTTTCAAGGGATTTAGATAGCCTACTAATTTCTATAGCACCTCGCAACCTTAGTATTTATACTTATTCAGAAATCCTATGAATTCTCCTCCTATTTTCGTAGTTCAACTGTAAAACCTCAGTGGCTAAATGCCTTTTCAACTCAATTCTATTTGGAGTAACAGAGAAAAATTTGGCTTAGGTTAGATCGACTGTGAATGTTTTGCGGTGGCAGCTCTCCCCAGCACTTTTGAACGGCTTTACAAACTACACATTGCCACATTTGCTGCATTGCTGCTGCTGCTGCTGTGGCGCGCTTTGTGCAACACATGTTGCCATAACTTAACAGCTTAACAAACTTGTCGAGTATACCCGAAAACGAGGAGCCCGGCTCCCCTCCCCGGGGGTCTCCTCCTGCTCGTCCTTTTCGTCCTGCTCTCAAGTGGCTGACGGCGGCCCACTTGGCGTATGCGTAACGTTTAAACCGACCTCAGCCGCAGCTTTTTTCGCCACGGACTCGCAGTCTATTTTTGCGCAATAAAAAAAGCATTCGGATCAGGACCCAGAGCCGCAGACAGCAGCGGCCAAAGTTTGTCCTTGCAAGGAGGCCCAAAGGCGCGAGGCTTCCACGACTCTTCACTCATTATGCTCCATGGCAGGAAATCAAAAGGGAAACTTTTTGGGCCACGAAAATGTTTGGCAACTTTTAGCCTCGCGGACTCGGCTCTTGGTTCTCTGTTCTTCTGCCTGCAATAATAATCATCGGGCTGGCAAAGTGCGTTGCCAAGAAGTTAGCAAGTTGAAAGCAATTAATGGACTAAATCAAAAAGCATTTTTTGAACAATAAGCGAGCGGGGCAGTTGCTGCATGTCAACACAACAACAAGTGTCGGGGGTTCAATTAGCCGCAAGCTGAAGCCAGGGAATTGGTAATTAATTGAACTCCTCTTTTCCAGCTTCCTGGGAGAGTGGAAACTCTGCCATTGATTTTCCCGGCCCCCCTTTGATCTTGTGCCGCGTGTCATGTCAGGCAATTTTCTCTGACATAAGCCAACTTGGTTACACAATTTCCCTCGGTAACTTTTTAATTTATACATCTTGGCTGGTTAAAAGTTGGTAACTTTTTAGTTTTGTTTGCTTCACAAGGTTGCAAATATTAAACAAGTTAAGCCAGCATATGTTGTATATTTATAGAGAGTTAAGCAATCAGTGGGAAAGTTGATAATGAAGTAAGGGAAAATTATAGACAACCAAAAGTTGAAAAATTAATATATCAAAACAGGCCTGAAAATGATTTCTCCTTTAAGATAAGCTTCTTTCGCACAATTTCCCTCAAAACCATTCGTAAATGTCAATTAGCAGGCTCCTTAATATATACAAAATCTTCTTCCTTTCCTGATTTAACTGTCCATCAAAACCGGATTTCTTCTTGGAGATATGATTCTCCTCCCCCGTTCGACTTGAAACCTAATTCACAGAAGTCAATTAGCACGAATCATATCTAAATATATATCTTGTAAATTTCGTTTCATTTTGGCCAGTTAGTTATGCCTTTGCCTCACCGTTTGATCATTTAATTATGGCCTAATTAAAATTGGCAAAAGCCTTGACCGTTATGGGCCATTAAAAGGCGCAGTCGACAAACAAAACAAAAAATAAGGGACACACAAAAGGGACCGAAGGCAGCCCCAAAAAGCATCATCATTCTGTCCCATCATGATGGCCATCCATTCATCCATTCATTCATTCATTCGTTCTTTCGTTTGGCCAGGACATGAAGGAGTAGTATGGCCAAGTGTCTTGGCTTTGAATAATTAAACCGGAGCATTTCGCTTTCAATTAAGATGTCGACACGCAGGCATCAGGATGCTTGAGGCCTCCCCGAGGATACTGAGGATACTGAGGGTCCTTTGGCGCCCACCCAGGTGCTTGCCTTAAAATTTCAACAAATTTCATTTCACTTTCAGTCTGCATAATTAATTTTTTGTTCACACTGTGCGTTATAATGGAATTTAATTTCCTTGTTTATGGCTGGCCAATTAAATGATTTCTTCGCGTGCTTGATTTCCGCCTCTCGCCTCCGCTGCTCTGCCTTTGAAATCAATAAATCGCAGCCTTGGCAGCGACTTGAATGCAAATATGAGGCTAACAAGGAGCCCGGGGGGCAGGACGAGGCAGGAGGAGGCAGGCAGAGACCTCATCCTCGTCATGCAACGACCTTCTCAAGTCAAATAACAGAAAAAAGCGGCTTAAGTGCCAGCGGGCGGCCGCCTTGAGTTTCTAATACGGCCAAGACTGGCATCATGTGCTAAACAAATAAGCGAAACAGCCGACTTAAGTCCTCCTCCATGGAGATTTTTCCCCGGATCTGGCCCAGCTCGCCGTGGGTGGGATTTTCCTGCCTTGTGATGGGCATTTGACAAAGCACCGGATATAAATTGCCAAGGTCTCAGAATGAACTTTTGTCCGTTCCGTCGGTCGGTCAGTGATGGGCGCCAAAAAACATGTTTTTAATTAAATGTCAGAAAAGATTCGCGCTCTCAAAACTTTCAATGCATTTTCTGTGTAATTACACCTATAGTATACTCAGCACACACAACACACACAGGTGTTTATTACCTAAAATTCCCAAGCAACCACAGCAGCAACGAGGGTTGTCAAGGAAGTTCATAGCTGAACTAGGAATAAAAATAAAATTAAGTATACGCCATGATGACTTATGGGTTTAGTACTCATTTCAGATAGAATTAATTCTAGAATTTAAGAAAATGTATTTTATTTTTGCTTAAAGCAAAGACTCAGAGTTAACCCTCGAAGAGGAAATATGTAAGCAGACAAAGGACAAAAGGTAGTGAGATAGCACTCTCGAGTACTTAGTGAGTTACTTACTCCTGGCTCCCTCTCGTCCTGGCCACTGGCACACCTGAAGCTTGTTTGGCGCTTGTTTTCCACCTCCATCCCCTCCCCCTCTTTTTCAGCACTCAAGTGGTGAAAAGTGTTTTTAACACACTTTAGGGAAGACTAGCAGGGAAAAGGAAGGGTTTCGGGAGGAGGACTGCAACTGTAGGCATCCCGAAACTATATAAGCACGCAAACAGTTCAAGTTGTCTAAGGAGAATGTTAATTTTGGGGTGGTAAAGTCGAGGGAAAAGTTGAAGAAAAAAGGCACTGGGAGAAATATCTTATAAGAGAACTTGTAGCACATTTTAAAGACCTATTTTTTCTGTTTAAATGCAGCAAAGAGATGGATATATTTGCACTCAACTCGGAACCATTTACCATAAATAATGAGGAGGCTGGTTGGTTGGAAAGAAACGCTGTCAACTCCATGTCGGGCTCCCAGCTAAGTCAGCATTATCGCCGGCGAATGGCGGCGTCATCATCATCATTAGGCGACTTTTGAGCCCTGACACGGCCTTGGACACTCGCATGGATTTGCTTTGGTTTGGTTTGGTTTTGGCAAAGGCTGAGGGGATTCGTGTTTGGTCGTGGGTATGTGGGTGGTGTGTGTGTTAGCTGTTGGCTCTCAGCTGACAAAATGCCGTTGACATTTACAAATGAGGCCCGCCAGCGAATTAATGAGCCACGCCCAATTAGCGAGCGCGTCACATGAGCGAGAGCTTCGAGCGTTGCAAGGATCCCCGGCCAAAAAGGCTCCCATTATCCTGATGTCTCTGCTCCTGGCTAATGTATTGGAAAATGAAATTGAAGCCAATGTCTGCGACTTTCTTTTATTCTCACTCTCTCTTCTTTTTCGTTGTACCCTCTCTCTCCTTAAAGCAACAATTTAATTAATATTACACAGACAAAACAAGGTGGTAATCTCAGGGCCCCCACTCTCCGCTCTGCTCTGCAATCTTCAATGTAATTTTCTCGTTTACTCGTTTTTTTTTTTTTTGGGGCGAAGAGGTCTAAGGGGCAAGGCACCCTAGTATCCTTAGTATCCTGGCATCCTGGCAGACAATAGGAAGGCAGGAGCGCACTTGAGCACAGTTTGAGGCTGAGGCTTGAATGCGCCGCGCCTATAAGTATGCACTTGTGACCGTATTCCGCCCCTGATTCTGTTCGGGGATATATATGTATATATATAATATATAGTATAAAACATAGAAAAGAAGCTCTCTTGCTGGTCCACTGAGCCACTTTCGGGTCTCTGCTTGAGTTGCAACAAAGTTTCTTGTATTATATTTTATTATATTAATATATAATACATAGTATATATAGAAAGGGGTGTGGCCACTTAAAGCTTAAGCAGAATATTCGTGTCACTTACATAATAATAAGGACATTGGTTAACGACCTCGTTTAATCTCTAGAAATTGTTGAAAAATAATAGAAAATATTATTTTGAATAGGTAAATTTAAAAAAGACTTTATCTTTCGTAAGAGTATATAAAAATCTTATAAATTTACCCCAATACCTTTTCCTTTCTGCATTTTAAATGCAATTTCAGGCAATTTCCTGACTGGCCATCATCATAAATTCAATTGAAATACATATATTTTTTTGGTGCGCTCAAAGGACCTTTAACTAATATCCGATATATGCTTCCCTCTTCTCTCTCTCTTTTCCCCTCTCTAACAGAATCTTCAAGACCACAGGACGCTCGGTGCAGGAGGATGTCAACCTGCTGCACGCCTCCGTCCTGTCCATGGTGGAGTTCGACGATGATATATTCGCGGCCGGAAATTGCTTCGACTGGAACGAGCATCCCGCCCAGCCAGGACTCTTTTGTCCCTTCGCCTACCGCCTGCCGCCGCCGAATCTGGGCGCGGTCTTTGCCAAGGATCTGGCCATGGAGTATCACTATCTGGGCAATACCTCCGAATGGTTCTTTCTGGCCCGCAAGAACGCCGAGAAGGTGATAGCCCGGAATGAGCAGTATCTCAAGTGTAAGTATCCCGGGGTAGCTCTTACGTTCGTCGTCTGAAATCTGTGTTTGGGATTCGGGAATGTCCTTGATTTATTTCTCGGCTGGGGTAAGCAGAAGCTCCTCTCCTTATTTATGGCGACCCGATAGCAGGACCCACATATACGTACACAGTACAGTGGCAGTCAATATAACAGTTCCAAGTAGATAAAATGTCCTTAAAAGTTTGCTAATAAATATTGTAATTTAAGAAAGGAATTGTAAAATATAAATAATACCTATTATATTCATTCAAATTCATTCTTTTCCTCCCATTACCTTAACTTTAAGGTTCTTTAATTAAAGAAATATATATTTAATGTACCCATTCTATCTTTGCTGCTATATTTTACCCTGAACTGTACATATACTATACAAAGGACATTAAATATTTATTTTTGCAAGCTTTAATCTGCGACTTCATTAGTCACCGGCCAGACGACGGCAAAGATCAGAGTTGGGGCATCTCGCCTAATTGCGAAAGAGAGTCGCATATTTTACCCAGATTTATCAAGGACCAAATGACCGAAAATGTCCCCCTGACAGTGCCACAATTAAGCAATAATAAATAAACAGAATCTAAGGATCCCAGCGAACTCCACTTTAAATGGAAATTACCTGAACCTGGTGCAAATTTACCAATTCCGTTCGTAATTAGCCGGACTTCCGTTTTCTCCCCTAAGAACGATGCGTGTGAGCTAATATTATGCAAGACTCGACATCCGGTGGAGCTCGAGGACTGACTGGCAAAGCTGTGTCGAGTGTCCTTTGATCCCTGCTTTTCCTGATGTCCTAGTCCCTCGCTAAATTTAAGTTGCATGAAATTAATTTTAATGATGTAAACTTATTTTGGCAGCGACCTTACATGATTTTGACCGGCTGTTTGCATAGTTTCCCGCGGCGGGAACAAATGCACTTGACACGGCCATGCCGCAGCATTTCAAAATAATTTGCAAATTAAAGGTTACGGTTACACCACGTCGCAGGATACCCCCTGGCCGCAGGACTCCTCCGTGTCCTTCGTGTATGCCGGGTCCGACGGCTTGCGTGTGCAACGTTGGCATGCAAATTATTTGTTTGCCTGCCTACAACTAATACTAAACGTGGAACATGGGTTTTTTCGGTATTCCCACGGCATTTACACTGAGCAAAAAAATGTATATTTTATCGGAAAGTTCAATTCAAATATTGAAATTGATTTCTGACAGGATTTAAATAACCTGAATGTAAGAGTGCTTAACCCTTTAATGTTGCTAAGAAAATTGATTATTTTAATCGGTTTATTTGGGTTAGCAAGCATTGGTTACACTAATAACAGTTGTGCCCTAGAGAGGTGAATAAATTAGTGTGACCAACGCTAAATAAAAAGCATTGAGCTCTTAATCGTTTGAGAGAAGGGGTTTTAAGGTTACACTAACTATTAAATTTACCATATGTTTCTCTCAGTGTGACAACTCCCTTGTATCCGCATCTGCAGCCGACAAAACCGGCCACAGGCTCTGGTGCCGCCTGCAAATTGCATGTGGGAAATTGCATGAGAGATGCCGTTGAAAAATGTGCACAGTACGTATACGTAACGTAAACGGCCGCACTGCCATATTACGTATACGCCGCGGCGTTCGATTGTACTCTGTGACTTTGGCTGCGACACTCAACCACACACACTCGCACACACACACTAACACACACCCATCACCGCGACATGCCGAGGGAAAACAAATGGAATCGAAAGCAAACAAGCTGTTCGGTAAAGGGGGGTTGGGACGCCCATGCATACTAATAGCGTTTTTTGGGAGCGTTGGCCAGGGGGGAGCCACATCCGGCCAAGAGTTGATTGCAGGCTGGGAGCCAACTATTTGCCATAGATAAAGGTCCGTTTTGGACATCCGTTTTGTTTGCCATGGCCGCCAAAATTGAAAAGACGACTGGAAAACAAATAAAAAAACCAAGTTGCCAAATTATATTTGTGGCTCAAACAATAAACGAAAGCTGGGTTCGTGTCCTGACATCAAGTCTCATTTATCTACTGGCCCAAAGTCGCCCTAAGCCCCAGCGAACCATGATTTACGATGTGCTGAAACTGAAACTGCATTTGCATATTTGCTCCTGGCTTTAAAGTTCGTCCTGCCGCAGCGGAAAAAACTTTTTTGGGAAAGAGTTTCCCCCAGAGAGTCATAAATCGTGGCATTGCAGCCTTATTAAATTATTGCCACACTTTTCGCAAGGACAACGTTTAAGCCTTGCCGAACACTTTTCACGCCACAACCAATTTGCGGCCAATTCGGGCGCAATTAATTTGATTATATGTTTGCGGTGCACAATGCAAATGTTGTGTCTTTTTATTTGGCCGAAAAAGCCAATTCGCGAAGTGATTACCTTTTCATGGCATAATTAATAATATTTTTTTGCTCGCCGATTTCGCCAAATGGAGCAATCAATGGAAATGCGAGTGCATTTAATAGCCTGTTCGGTTTATTGGTTGTAATATTCAAAAAATGATTAATAATGTCGATTTAAGTGCACTCAATATATAATGATTTGGCCTAATTGTTGATTTTTTCGGGGGGAGGAATCATTTGGGCTTTTGTGGCTACTCGAATGCGCAGTGAATTGTTTAGAGGCACTTTTACCAGTGGGAAATTAACATTTAATGAGTTTTTAGGGGAGTACGTTTAAAAAAGACATATTATATAGTCATTTTAATTCAATAAAATAAATAAATTGCTTACTACAAAGTTAAATTCTTATTTAAATGCTTGGAGAACCTTTTCAGCTGTCAACTAACTTGCTAAATGTTTGCTTAAAGCTTCATTCATATAAAATTAAACTAAATTGCTAGTAAAATATTAGTTTTTCCCCTCGATTGACCAAGATAAAAATGACAAAGGATTCTTTTCTTTTTCTTATTTCCTGCTATTGTTAGATTCTATCGATGCTTTGTGTACACATTGCCATACGGCCAGCAAAATCATATATCAGTGTCCATCTTTTCTGGCTCATACTAACCACTTTACATGTTTATGTACTCGTACTCGAACTCACACTCATACTCGTATTCATACTCATACCCACACTCCTCAGCACTCATATGGAGACGCGTGTGCGGCAAGTAAACCGCAAAAATATGTCATAATATTTGCTTTCCCTCTGAGTTCCTCCCCCAGTTGCCTGTTTTCCCAGCTTTCCCCAGTTTTTCCAGCTTTTCCAGCTCCCTAGGCAGACAGACTGGGCGATCCGTTTTATATTATTATATTCTGCCTCTGCCTTTTGCGCTGGTTACAAGTCACGTGTTTAACATAAAATTTAAATAAAAATCGCATACAATATGTAAACGGTTATATGTACTTCCTGTGGTTGCCTCTTCCCTCTGCTCCTTGCCACAGAAATATTCTTCCAGAGCCCTGAGTCGGCCGTTGTAATTTCCGTCTGTTAACACAATTTGCAAATTCAGTCAGACTTTCACATCCTTTGGCATCGCCATTACCATTTACCAACTAAATCAGCCAAAATCTTATGAGATAAGCCACAACATATACAGATTTTATGCAAATCACGGACATAAAGAATCGCAGTTGTTGTGCTCGTGGCGAGTGCAGGCAGGATAATTTGGGATAACTGAGCTCTGAGCTAATTTTACTGAAAGTGATCGGCCAGATTCATTTGCCGCACTATTGTGATGATGCTGAAGGCAATCTTGGCCACCTAAAATGGAGTGGAGAGACATGAGTTTTCTTTTTTGTGATAGATCCCAGACTCACGCTTATGTTGCTGTTCATAGAGATGGGAAAAATTCCACCTGCAATGAAAATTATAGGCTGCTGAACATGATGCATAAAGTGCACGAGGGTGGCCTTGTATCGAGGCTCTGCATCGACCCAATTCGATTGAAAAATGGTGTTGGCCAAATCCTGGGCATCGTCCAGAAGGAGATTGCAGGTATAGCAAAAGGGGAATGTCTGCATCAGAATGGTTATAACAAGCAGAAAGGATGCCACACCCTTCCAAAAGTTCGAAAAGAAGAACACATTGATCAGAGTCAAACCCAGCACAGAACCAATGAGGAGGAATTGCACAAAGATGGTGCGGGATATCATGGGGCGGATCATATCGCAGCATCTGGAGAATACAAATTACTTTTAGTTCTTAACAAATACTCAGACTTGCCGTATAATCATCTTGTGATCAATCACACAATTAACTAGATCCTGGTAGTTGTCAGCCTCGCTCCTTTCCGGATCCATGCGCAAATTCCTCACATGATCCTTGAGCACATCCATGTGCGCTCGAAAGATAATGGTAAACATCAGGGGATACGTGTCCGATAGCTGATCCTGCAGCACCGCAAAGGACATGGTTATGTACTCAAAGATGGCCTGAATCCACAAACTGCCCAGGCCATCGCGCCAGTCCACAAAAGGATTGTACACCGACCAGGGAGGACGACCACTGAGGGCATGAGAGAGGAAAGTGGATCCCGTAAAGCCGCAGTAGATGAAGCTATAGATGAGGAACGCATAGTTGCAGCGGGCCACCATGTCATGGATCTTCTTCCGATCTCCATCACCCTGCAGCCTCCTGTCCAGATTGTCCAGCAGCATCTCCGTCTTGCGCAGCCTCCAGAGGAATATATACGTAATCGTGGACTTCACAGACGCTCCATACACATTAATGCACACCTGCAGGGAGGTGAGGAACTCCCCAGGTGTAAAGTTCTTGAACTCATTCACATAACTAATGATGAAGCCCACGGGCAGGTAGAACACTCCAAAGGCGAAGGGCACACATGTCCAGAAGAGATACACATACCGCAGTAGACCCTCCTTCGGCGGAGTCCATCCAATGAGCCACATGGCCCGATAAAGATATATATTCGCCTCACGGGACTGCACTTTCTGCTCCAGCGGAGCCGGATTAATCATTTGGAACAGCACCATGGCCTATGTCTATGCAAACAACTCTGACTACTGGCTTTATATATGAACGAACTGTCACCCACCGAAATTGGACAGGTGCTCGATTTCCGGCCAAAATTATTATTTATTTATTTAGGCGAAGGCAGGCAGGCAGCTCTGTCAACTGTCAATTAGACGATTAATTGTTAAATGGATATTCCTAATAACTCAATTTAGGGTGAGAAAGCCCTGTGAATTATTTTTATATATAGCAAATAATTAATAGGGGAAACAATCTCTTGTATTATAATCCTCGAAGGATACTTGTAATCTGCTTGAGGATGCAAGTTTAGTGAGTGTAAAACTACTTAAAGTGCCGTCGTGCAAATATTAGTTCCGAAAATCTCTCACTAGTTATCCTCCATCAGGACTCTATCTAGGTCTCCTGCCAGTTCTCTATTTCTCTCAAACTTCTCCCCGAGATTCATCTGATAGACAATTGTGATGAAGAATATGAAGAATATAATGACACGATTCACCCGGGCCACCACTTTGTGTAGGATCTCTCTCTGGCTGGGAGTGCGGCATCTGTCATCGAGAGGAGCTATCAGCTCATTCATCCGCCGCATCCGCCACATCTGCGAGTAGGTCACACACGTCTTGATCACATTTCCCACACAATTGAGATCCACCTGCAGCGAGGTGAGGAACTCCATCGGCGTGAAGCGGTCAAAGTGCACCACATAGGTGAGGGACAAGCCCAGGGGCAGATAGACCACACCCATCAGCATGGTGGTTATTGTCCACAAAGCGTATGTCCACCTAAGCCAACCCCTCTCCACCGGCGGTATCCATCCCAGGCAGGTGGCAAAGCGATAGAAGTAGGCGCAGGCATCCAAGGATGTGACCCGCTGGTCAAGAGGAGCCACTGCCAGGCGCTCGAAAAGCTGCTTACTCATCTTTTCCAAGGAGAGAAAGTACTTTTAAAGTGACTGCGTAACTCGAGCTGGGTTTTTATATGGACGAGAATGCATTTCCTGATCTGTTTTTAATGCCTTGTCATTTTTGGTTTATTCATCAGGGAGGAAGAGTCCTTGAAGGCCGCGTGTTTGCACTTATAAAGTTAATTCTTAATATATATTTTGTTCGAACAATAAAAGAAAACAATTTGTAAACAACCTTACTTGCGTAGCCTAAAATCGAGCACACTACATGTTTCCTATGATTTTGTGGTGGGGACTTGTGAAGAGTATTTTCTACCAAAGATTAATAACAATTAAAACGTACTAAAACCGCTTCTTCAGAAGTCGCAATGTGCGTTGCCAGAGTCCCGGCATGGCCAATTGCTCTCGAAAATTCTGCAGCATCTTCCCAAAATCGTGCCCCTTATTGTGTGGTGGCATGGGGAGCATGGCTTCATCCGGAGCCACCTGTGGGCCACGATAGGCTTCCACAACGGCGCGACGCTCACGGAAGCCAGCGGAGGACATGCGTTGCACCGCGGAAACGGGTTCCATCAGCGGCTCCATCTTCCTAAGGCTCGGATTCCGATCTGGATTCATTTTCTCGCTTCGAGAAGTTTTCAGGTGGATTTATAAATTCAAGAGTAAATAAAATATATATATTACTGAATTTTCGACTTGTTTACCAGATGAATTACTAAACTGTTGTGTGGAGTGTTGGGATCAAAGTCTCTACAGTTTAGAGTTTTATTTTAAAGAGCTTACTGTGTGCTATTTTCCGCCTCTACCTTTTGCGCTGGTTACAAGTCACGTGTTTAACATAAAATTTAAATAAAAATCGCATACAATATGTAAACGGTTATATGTACTTCCTGTGGCTGCCTCTTCCCTCTGCTCCTTGCCACAGAAATATTCTTCCAGAGCCCTGAGTCGGCCGTTGTAATTTCCGTCTGTTAACACAATTTGCAAATTCAGTCAGACTTTCACATCCTTTGGCATCGCCATTACCATTTACCAACTAAATCAGCCAAAATCTTATGAGATAAGCCACAACATATACAGATTTTATGCAAATCACGGACATAAAGAATCGCAGTTGTGCTCGTGGCGAGTGCAGGCAGGATAATTTGGGATAACTGAGCTAATTTTACTGAAACTGATCGGCCAGATTCATTTGCCGCACTATTGTGATGATGCTGAAGGCAAACTTGGCCACCTAAAATGGAGTGGAGAGACATGAGTGTTCTTCTCAGTCATTGAGACTGCTATTAATCCCAGACTCACGCTTATGTTGCTGTTCATGGAGATGGGAAAAATTCCCCCTGCAATGAATATTATAGGCTGCTGAACATGATGCATAAAGTGCACGAGGGTGGCCTTGTATCGAGGCTCTGCATCGACCCAATTCGATTGAAAAATGGTGTTGGCCAAATCCTGGGCATCGTCCAGAAGGAGATTGCAGGTATAGCAAAAGGGGAATGTCTGCATCAGAATGGTGATGACAAAGAGAAAGGATGCCACACCCTTCCAAAAGTTCGAAAAGAAAAAAACATTGATCAGAGTCAAACCCAGCACAGAACCAATGAGGAGGAATTGCACAAAGATGGTGCGGGATATCATGGGGCGGATCATGTCGCAGCATCTGGAGAATACAAATTACTTTTAGTTTCTAAACAAATACTCAGACTTGCCGTATAATCATCTTGTGATCAATCACACAATTAACCAGATCCTGGTAGTTGTCAGCCTCGCTCCTTTCCGGATCCATGCGCAAATTCCTCACATGATCCTTGAGCACATCCATGTGCGCCCGAAAGATAATAGTAAACATCAGGGGATACGTGTCCGATAGCTGATCCTGCAGCACCGCAAAGGACATGGTTATGTACTCAAAGATGGCCTGAATCCACAAACTGCCCAGGCCATCGCGCCAGTCCACAAAAGGATTGTAAACCGACCAAGGAGGACGACCACTGAGGGCATACGAGAGGAAAGTGGATCCCGCGTAGCCACAGTAGATGAAGCTGTAGATGAGGAACGCATAGTTGCAGCGGGCCACCATGTCATGGATCTTCTTCCGATCTCCATCACCCTGCAGCCTCCTGTCCAGATTGTCCAGCAGCATCTCCGTCTTCCTCAGCCTCCAAAGGAATATATACGTAATCGTGGACTTCACAGACGCTCCATACACATTAATGCACACCTGCAGGGAGGTGAGGAACTCCCCAGGCGTAAAGTTCTTGAACTCATTCACATAACTAATGATGAAGCCCACGGGCAGGTAGAACACTCCAAAGGCGAAGGGCACACATGTCCAGAAGAGATACACATACCGCAGTAGACCCTCCTTCGGCGGAGTCCATCCAATGAGCCACATGGCCCGATAAAGATATATATTCGCCTCACGGGACTGCACTTTCTGCTCCAGCGGAGCCGGATTAATCATTTGGAACAGCACCATGGCCTACGTCTATGCAAAGAGCTCTAACTACTGGCTTTATATATGAACGAACTGTCACCCACCGATAATTGGACAGGTGCTCGATTTCCGGCCAAAAGCCACGCCCCATCGCTTTGTGGCCTGTAATTAGAGTTAACCATCGGGCAAAGTGCGAACTGGGATTTATTTATTTAGGCGAAGGCAGGCAGGCAGCTCTGTCAATTAATTGTTAAATGGATTTTCCTAATAACTCAATTTAGGGTGAGAAAGCCCTGTGAATTATTTTTATATATAGCAAATAATTAATAGAGAAACAATTACGAAAACATTTGATAATCGATTTGAAATCTGCTCTACATTTCTATATATCTAGTATTATAATCCTCGAAGGATACTTGTAATCTGCTTGAGGATGCAAGTTTAGTGAGTGTATAACTATTTAGAGTGCCTTCGTGCAAATATTGTTTCCGAAAATCTCTCACTAGTTATCCTCCATCAGGACTCTATCTAGGTCTCCTGGCATTTCTCTATTTCTCTTAAACTTCTCCCCCAGATTCATCTGATTGACAATTGTGATGATGGTGAAAGCAAACTTGGCCACTGCAATATTGCTCTGCACGGAAATGGGAAAAATAGAGCCAGCCTTGAACTCAATGACCTGCTGAGTTCGATGCAGGAAATATATAACTGCCGATTTATAACGCTTTGTGGCCGTCAGCCAGTTGGAATGGAAGACGGCATCGCTGAGCTTGGAGCAATCCTCGATGAGGAATTCACAGAGCAGGCAGCAGGGAAAGGTCTCGGTGCAAATGGCCATGATGAAGGCGATATTCGAGAGGATCGTCCAGATGGTGTTGGGGAAAAACAGGATATTAAAGCCTGCCAGGCCCAGGACGATGCCAACCAGCATGAACTGGGCAAAGATGGTGTAGGATAACATGGGACGGATGATGTTGGAGCATCTGAATAATATAATAATATTAGCTACTTGTGATTTGAAATCCCCCAACTAATGCTCACTCTATAATTGTGCGATGATCCTGAATGCAGGCCACCAGCTCCTCGTAATGCTCCTCCTCACTGAGCTCCTCATCCTTTCGCAAATTCTCTATGCGATCCTTGAGTATAGCCAGATGTGCACGAAATAGAGAGATGAAGACTATGGGGAATGTATCCGCTAGCAACTCCTGTGATTCCCCAGTCCAAACCATAAAGAACTCCACAATTGAGGCAACCCACAGTTGCCAGGTGCCTATCATCCAATCCACAAAGGGATTATACAGCTGCCATGGAGCCTTGCCGACAGCAATGCTCGTGAAGAGCGTCAAGATGCTGAAGGAAAAGTATGTGCACATGAAGAATATAATCACACGATTCACTCTGGCCACCACTTTGTGTAGGATCTCTCTCTGGCTGGGAGTGCGGCATCTGTCATCGAGAGGAGCTATCAGCTCATTCATCCGCCGCATCCGCCACATCTGCGAGTAGGTCACACACGTCTTGATCACATTTCCCACACAATTGAGATCCACCTGCAGCGAGGTGAGGAACTCCATCGGCGTGAAGCGGTCAAAGTGCACCACATAGGTGAGGGACAAGCCCAGGGGCAGATAGACCACACCCATCAGCATGGTGGTTATTGTCCACAAGGCGTATGTCCACCTAAGCCAACCCTTCTCCACCGGCGGTATCCATCCCAGGCAGGTGGCAAAGCGATAGAAGTAGGCGCAGGCATCCAAGGATGTGACCCGCTGGTCAAGAGGAGCCACTGCCAGGCGCTCGAAAAGCTGCTTACTCATCTTTTCCAAGGAGAGAAAGTACTTTTAAAGTGAATGCGTAACTCGAGCTGGGTTTTTATATGGACGAGAATGCATTTCCTGATCTGTTTTTAATGCCTTGTCATTTTTGGTTTATTCATCAGGGAGGAAGAGTCCTTGAAGGCCGCGTGTTTGCACTTATAAAGTCATTAGTTGCAGGATTGGCTTAGGCAATGCAAGTGAAACACTGGGAAATAATCTACCTTAATTCTTAATATATATTTTGTTCAAACAATAAAAGAAAACAATTTATAAACAACCTTACTTGCGTAGCCTAAAATCGAGCACACTACATGTTTCCTATGATTTTGTGGTGGGGACTTGTGAAGAGTATCATCTACCAAAGATTAATAACAATTAAAACGTACTAAAACCGCTTCTTCAGAAGTCGCAATGTGCGTTGCCAGAGTCCCGGCATGGCCAATTGCTGTCGAAAATTCTGCAGCATCTTCCCAAAATCGTGGACCTTATTGTGTGGCGGCATGGGGAGCATGGCATCATCCGGAGCCACCTGTGGGCCACGATAGGCTTCCACAACGGCGCGACGCTCACGGAAGCCAGCGGAGGACATGCGTTGCACCGCGGAAACGGGTTCCATCAGCGGCTCCATCTTCCTAAGGCTCGGATTCCGATCTGGATTCATTTTCTCGCTTCGAGAAGTTTTCAGGGGGATTTATAAATTCAAGGGTTAATAAAATATATATATTACTGAATTTTCGACTTGTTTACCAGATGAATTACTAAACTGTTGTGTGGAGTGTTGGGATCAAAGTCTCTACAGTTAAGAGTTTTAGTTTAAAGAGCTTACTGGGGTTTTCTGGGTTTCTCTATGTATAAATAAATTATCCCTAAACTCTAAGCTTCAGTTTTTTCCTCGCAGTGCATACCTTTACTGGCTTATCGATTTCTGGTTCCTCTAATTACATTCTGCATAATGGATTACGATATTGAACACCCTTTCCTTGCCTCCCTTGTCCTTGCAGCCTTTCATCTCTACTCGAACCGCACCGAGGAGCGCATCGAGGACGACACGCTGGCTGTGAAGTACGAGGACGGCAGATGGTCAAAACCCTACTACGATTGCGGTGGCGGCAACATTTGGATGCTGACCTACACGGTGCCATTCTTTGGATACGAAAATGGAACCTATCACTTCAAGTAAGAAAATGTTAAGTCTATATTACCTAAGTATTACCAACAAGGAAAGGTTACTAAAAGAATTGTAGATCTTTAGAACATAGAAACCATAGAAAAGGGATAAAGGCTCCAAGAACTACTCTCTTTCTTTTTAAATCTCAATATTCAAATATTTCTATAAAATGTTTTGACTTTTACTTCCCTTTCAAGGTTGAGTATTCTTTAAGCAATACATTTTTAATGACTTTAGTGCTCATTTTCTTTGTGTATTTGGAACAAAAGGCGCATATGAGAAAGCATGCACATGACGGATGCCATTGGATGAGCATTCTATAAATAATTTTCAGCTTGGGAAATTTTGTAAGAAAACTGCAATGACGCCGCGCTGTGCTAAGTGCCAACGAAGCAGTTTTCCTGCTATAGCACCACTGCTGCTCGCTGGAAAAGCCGGAAAAACCGAGCGAGTGGCAGTTTTTGGCTTTTGTCTGGGAATGGGAAAAGTAATTGAATAGCTGAATGGCTCTAGTGCGGCACGTGCAATGTGCCACCGACTGAGTTTTAGTTTTAGGACTTCCCAGCCATCGAACTTTTGGCCAAGAAGATGGAGAAGGAAAGGACCGAATGCTACCAAATTCCGCTCACGCATCGGGCCAAAAAGGAGAGTGCGTTAAAAGAGCAAAACATTCTTATGAAACTTTATAACGTGCTGCTGTCTTTTCATCTCCATTTTCCCCAGTCAACTGTATTTTTTTCACTCCACTTTAAATATGATTTTTTTTTCTCTGTCTGACCCAAATAGTTTTTCTGTTTCCGGGAACTTTTCCAATTGAAATTTCGGTTGAGCTCTAAAAGTGAATTGGAAACGAGGCGAGCCAATTAAGTAGTTTGAGTTGAACTCCATTGATGTTGCTTCCGGGGGAGTCATAATTTCGAGAAAACATATTTAATTAATTCGCACTCTGAATGCGTAATTACCAGAGCAATGCTTTAGCCCATTAAATAGTTATAGTTTTGTGATAAATTCAAGCTTTTATGTTATGCATTGATGTACTAAGTACCTTTCGCTTGATGACGATAGTAGCTAATTGAAAACCACTTTGATATTTATGACACAAAATGCCATAGCCAGTCTGTCATCGTTGTTGTCTGCACTTCCACTCTACTTCATCCATAATTCGCAATTATCACTTGGCTGGCAGCAGACAACAGCTGAACATCAGCAAGGACCAAGGACCAAGGAGCAGGGAACAAGGAGCAGGGAACAGACAGCAGATTGCAATAGCAAGAACATCGTTTTGGCCAACAAACTATTTTCACTTAGTGGCTAAGAGAGGCAGTGAGTGTTGGTGTCCTGGTTGGGCGATGGCCAGGATTACGTGGCTGTTGTTTTTCAAAGCCAGCCTGATGTTTATATGTCTGTTATCCCTAAAAAATCATCAGAGATTAAAATGAGTGGCTGTAACTATGATTTGAAGCCCTGCTTTTTAGCAGATTAAGTCAGTCAAAAATATTTAAAATTTCAAATTCATCTTAAAACAGATTTAAAACTATTCCTTAAATTTTATAAAATTTTACAACCACTTTATAGTTATTTTGTTAAAGAAGTGAAGCTTCTCTTACAAATATAATTATAGTTAAAAGTTTGCAACGCCTTAGGATATAATATATATTCTTGACACTAGCTTTATTTATTGTTTTAAAATATAAGATCGCTTAACGAATTATCCAACACAATTGTAATTGCTCTATAAACCATAAATTAACTTAATTTAAATTTTAGAGACATTTGATGATCATTTTGCACTATAATTTAATTTAGAAAGAATAGTTCCTTGGGCTCTATCATCCTTTTTTCAAAGGGTTCAACCATGCCGTCCACTTTAGGCTTGAAGCAATAGCAAGGATACACCATACGGGCCTCCGAGGGTTCGGGAGTGGCTCCTGGTCTGGGGGTTGTGGTAAACCGGAGTCTCTGATACCCTATACATTTTAAAACCATATTCATTTAGCTATTTTTTTTAGTTTTTATATGTTTAATATAGTATATTTAAAATATTAATACACTATTATTAATCTGATGATAATTCTATCGCAAGTTTTCTAAATAATTCAAATATTCAATTCAGAAAATATTTTCTACATTTATAAAGCACTTTTAAAATTTGTAAACTCTCACAGTAATATTATTTTAATCAGAAGCTTAAAACGCAGTGAAGGAGTCATTTCCGACCCTATAAATCATATATATTCTTGATCAGCACGAACAGCCGAGTCGATCTAGCTATATCCGGAAGAAATTTTTTTTTTCAATATTTTTATATTTTCTTAGGCTAAATTTTATATTTATCAAATTTTAAAAATTTGACAAAATTTGAAATTTGTAAACTTTGAAAACTGAGTATGCAGATTTGTTAACTCTATGAAAACTAGCTCAAAACAGCTTTCCGAATTAAAATTAATGGATTTTTTGCTTAGTTATGAGTTTTTTAAACTTTGATTTGTTGCAAACATTGTCATATAAAAATATTGATAAATATAAGCTAAAAATTGTATTATCATTTTCAGTCAGAAGCTTAAAACTCAGTGAAGAAATCATTTCCGACCCTATAAATCATATATATTCTTGATCAGCACAAACAGCCGAATCGATCTAGCTATATCCGAAAGAAATTTATTTTTTTCAAAAGTTATTCAATTTTTTTAGGCCAAATTTTATATTAATCAATTTTTAAAAATTTGACAAAATTTGAAATTTGTAAACTTCAAAAACTGAGTATGCAGATTTCTTAACGTTATGAAAACTAGCACAGAACAACTATCCGAATCAAAATTAATGGATTTTTTGCTTAGTTATGAGTTTTATAATCTTTGATTTATTGAAAAAATGGTCATATAAAAATATTGATAAATATAGGCTTACAAAATGGTATTATCATATTAGTCTGAAGCTTAAAAGAAAGTGAAGGAGTCATTTCCGACCCTATAAATCATATATATTCTTGATCAGCATGAAAAATCGAATCGATCTAGCTGTGTCCGGAAGAAATTTATTTTTTTTCAAAAATTGTTCAATTTTTTTAGGCCAATTTTTACATTGAAAAAATTCTTAAAATTTGACTAAATTTGAAATTTGTAAACTTTTAAAACTGAGTATGCAGATTTTTTAATATTAAAAAAACTAGCACAGAACAGCTATCCGAATTAAAATTATTGCATTTTTGGCTTAGTTATGATTCTTAAAAAAATTGTTTTGTATATTTTATTTTGTATATTCATATTCAAAGAATACGAATATTTTAAGGTCCTATACTTCTAGTGTACAATTCATAATTATTTAATTTATTTATAATGTCGTGTTACGAACTCACATCTGCTTTGGTAATATTGCCTCTGGTACCAGGTCAAGTTCCTGTGGGGCCAATCGTCCTGCCATTGAAAAGCCCACGTGGCTGTCAGGCCAAAGAATAACAAATGCACCGCGGGCAGGAACATCTTTGTGTGTGTGGAAAACTGCTACGAGCCGTGGAAAAGCCCTGCCTAATGGCTTCCGTAATTATTGCAGGCAGTTCGCTTCAGCCTAAGTAAGCGTTTAAAATTTAATTACACGCGAAAGGCACAAAGGCAGGCGATGCGATGCTCTATCGCAGGTGGGCTGTCTGGGCTCTCTTCTGCCCTTCGTGTTTTCAAAATTTAATTAAAGCAATCAATTATAAAACAGCCGCTGCCTCCTCACTCACACATGCCTACTTACGCGTTCGATGACTTTCCACGCTCAATAAATTTCACACGCAGCCAGTGGGAAGCGGAGGAGCAAAAAGGGGGCAGGATCTGAGGCAGGACCTTCTGGGAAAAAGCCAACTGACTGCCTGGCTTCGTTCGGCCTGCAATTAGTTGCAACATAAATTTGGTCTAGGCCAGGACTTGGTTTGAGCGGAAAATGTAGCAATTGTTTAGCTTTGAAAATTCCGCCAGGGAGGCGACTGTGGGTCTTCCAGTTATAAAAAATTGCTATCTCTATTCTTTATACAATTAAAACCATTTATATTGAAATTTCGTATAAATTTTATATGTGAATTAAAAATAATATGTAAGGTAAGGTAATTCTACAATTAGCAACATTTAAAATGTAATGACTTCCTTAATAACCCTTTAAAAAAATAAGATATTTATATATAAACATTTATATATTCCCTAGTTGCTATCCCTTGAATATATTTAAAACTTTTCGCTGTTCATTTTAAAAGTTGCCCCCGCTGCCTAATTGAGATACCCCTTTTCTCATCTCGACTGGCGAGTAGAATTAATGTGGAAATGTTAAAAGTTCGTAAGTTCAGCCACCGGAACAGTGGAGAATATTCAGTATAGAATGCACTCCGGCAGCAGGACCACGTCAAACAAAGCTCATTTGTTTCACCGGCTTACGGCAGGATACAGGGGACGGAGGACGAGGGCAGAGATGGCCCAAGTTGAGCTGGATCCAGCTCCGGCAACATTTTTCCGGGAAAGTTTGCGCTCGCCCGGCTGCTAACTGGTGGCCACATGCCGCACCAGACTGGACCATGTCCGTGTCCGGTTCGTGTTAATAATGTGCTGCTATCAGTTTCCCATTAGTTGGCAAAATTAATTTGTTTACGTTGTGGCGGAAGCGGAGGAGCGAAAAAAACTGGCCAGAGAGGGTACTAAGCGAGTCGGTGGTGTGGCGGAGCGTGGCGGAAACTTGCTAATTAATTTCATTTGCCATGCGGTGTGTGTAGCTGCCTCATTTTTCTTAATTGCATGAAATATGCAGGCAGGGAAGGCCATCAAGCTACCAAGCTATCAAGCTACCAAGCCGAAACAATAAGCATTCACATTAAGTTAAAGTTAATTTTATTATAAATTATTTGGCCAGGCCCAAGGAGGCCCAAGGAGACTGGGCAGCAAATCACATTAGGCACCCACCCGCTGCGAAAGGACGAACTCCGGCGGCGCGCAGAAAAGGACCTCCTGCTGGGGCAATAATTTTATTTGATTTCATTTAAGTTTCGCTTAGCGCTCACAACTCTGCGGGTTGCGTTCGCAAGTTTCAATATTAAACGGGCCGCAGGGCGACTGTAAATGCGAACCGTAATCCCGGCATTGTATTTACTTGACTTACGAGTATTGTACGAGTATTTCAGCTGCAATATGCTGCTGCTCACTCAGCCCCACTCAAGCCCAAGCCCGTATCCTTGGAGTCCTGGCGGCATAATGATGCAAACGGAAGCGGAAATCTCAAATATCAGGCAATAAGCCAGCCTTTGTGGGCCCCAACTGCTGCAGCGGTCTGAATGTGTGCTTGATTATGAGTTTGCATGTGCAACATGTCGGTCCTCAGAGATACATGTATATTATATATGTATGTTATATCCTGCATAGAATAGGTATTCGGGCAAAAACCAAACATTTACTCTAACAAATCCCCATTCGCATGAATTTCAAATCTCCTGCAGCTGAATACCTGCCAAACTTCACTCACACTCCACTTTAAGTTCCCTCTAACTAAACATTAAAGTGAAAATGTTGAATATTTGCTTTAATGTGGCCTCCCCAGTAAGTCCTGATTGCGCCCAAAACTTCCAAAAAAGGTTTGACATCCATTTCGGGGCCTGTCATCGAAACATATTTGAAATTAGTTTGGAAATTACACAGTTACACTGCGGGGAAAAGTGTTGAAAGAACTTTTCCCCGCAGTGTAGCCTTAAAATAAGAGAAATAATCCTTACAAAGTTAAGAAAGTATTCAGAAAGGAAACTAAACAGATCTTTTTATATTTTAATTTTTAGATTAAGAATCATTTTCATACTCTCCTGCAATTACTTTCTTTTATATAGCTCATTACTATTATTTTATGGCTCATTTTTCGCACCGTGTACCGTGTAGGCCTTAAAATGTGGCAGATGAAGTGTGTTGGCCACCGTTCACTTTGCTGCTGCGAGGTGCAAAACCTACAAAACTGATTACGTGCATTAGCTGCCACGACCGAAAATTGTGGCACGCACGGCGTATACGTAATGTGGCACAGCGCATATGAGCGAGTTGTTTACAAACTGTGTGCGTGATGGCGGTTTTGGTTTTCAGGATGGTACATCCTATTACGTTGCCACTCGTTGCAATAAAGTTGTTGCCATATTTTGGTTACGCAGCACTAAACCAGGGGGAATCCCCTCTGGCAAACTGGTGGAGGAGGAACCCTGATGTAGCTGCTAGTGTCACCAATTTTAAATAGCTGGCACGTGCATCGGGTATTATATGGTGTGCAGAAATCCTGGGAATCCTTTCCCGCAACAAAAGCTACTCAAAGATGCATTTCACTTATTCACGTAGTGCGTGTTTGTTGCACGTGCACCGAATGCCAAGCTGCAAACACTAAGCTTTAAATTCCACTCGAAATTTAGTTAGAACACTTCACTTACTTACGTACGAACGTACAGCGAGTGCCATAAATTATAAATTCTCCTTTGACGATGTCGGCCATAATTGGAATTCAACAGGCTTTGGACTGAGGTCGAGGCTAAGGAGAAAACTAACTTCATTTAAGGCTCATTTGTAGGCATTAGGCAGAGTTCTTCCATCTCCCTCAAAGAAAAAGGCGTTTGTCATCATATCTAAATCAAGTGACGGCCAGACGATAGGCAAACATTGTCACATCGCAAAGGAATATATATCCTTGTGGCTTTGCGCTCAAACTAATAAATCAATATGCACACGTCCCTCTGTTTGTATATACACATATTCCTGGACAAAACTCATTCTGTCCGGGGCTCAATCAGCTTATTTTCTAATATCCGTTTACAAATTATCTTCAAAAACTGTCAACAACAACAAAGCCAGACACGGACAAAGGCAAAAATGAAGACATGAGCTGGGAAAACTGAAACCACAGCAAATAGAAATGCCAAATAAGAATGAGGCAATAACATACAAGCAAACACATATACACATGTATGTATATCCTGGGCAAAAGGACGCAAAGAAAAAAGGCCATTCGGGTCCCGGACATAAAGGCGTTGGGATCAACTGGCCGGGAATTAACATAATCATTACGATAATGTAATATGGCCATTGTGCAGTCCCGTCGCTGTGCATTTCCCAGGCCGAAGTCCCTTTTTTCCCGAATCGCAATCAATAAGTTGTCAGAAACAATCAAATAAATACAAACTGATATGTCAATATTAACTGACAGCCGCCCCTCTCACATGCACCATTATTCCGAACCCGAAGTCGACTCCCAACTCGATTCCTTAACCGAAATCCAAGGCATTGGCCACCGGATATCGCCGGGACAAACCCATTAGGCCCCGCCATGGGTGGCCATTGAAAGGAAAGAAAGGAAGGAAGGAAGGAAGGGAAAATGGAATGTCCCTTTGAAGAAATGAAATGAAAATCAATCTACACCCTATCCCATTTTCAATAATATTTTATATACACTTTAGGTTGAACTTTTAAATATTACAAAAAGCGTTTGTAAAATTGATTTTTCCTGTGAAATTTTGAACTTTAAAAGATTGTTTATAATAATTTATATGATTTCCCCTAAGAAACTATACCGATTGTAGCAGAATTATGGCATATTCATTTCCCTTTATAGGGAAATGTATTCAATTTTAAAGAACCCAGAAATTTAAACTCTTAAAAAATACATATAACCAAACTAGTAAAAAATCATCTCAAAGAGATATTCCTTTGCATATAGTTTTTGCCTTTAGAAAGGCTTAAAGGCAACTAGAGAAACGCAAAACAAACACCAAAACCAACTGCCAAAGGGATCATGGCACAACAAAACTTGCCCTAACTTCTGGAAAAAATGAAAAAGAACCAAGAGGAAAACCAAGAGGAAAACAAGAAAAATAGGGGGGAAAGCTGACGAAAGCTGGCGAAAGGACGAGGCGTGAAAATGCGGACAAGCGGGCAGGCTGAGATTATGCGTAAAATTCTACATGTGTTCCGGACGGGCAAGGACCGGCAGCTGTTTGGCCGCAGGACTCCTCTGGATTCTGCTTAGGTATGCGTGTAATTGGGTGGCTGCCCATTGGCAGGACCTTTGCGGAGGCATATTGGGTTTCAACTATGTATGTTTGCATATCCTGACGAAGGGAGGTGCCCCAGCGACAGCTTAGTGCACCCTTTTCATGGCTTTATGTCTTTGTAAAACGACAAGGCCAACCTTAACGCCCTACCCATTCCTATACCCATCAGCAATAGCCAGAAAATAATTTTCTCCTATATATTTTTTTGCCTTCTTCCGGAGCTCGTTTTCAAAATGGAGAAGGGAAACCGGAACCAAGCACGCATGTTAGTTTATCCCTTTTTTTCTCCTTCCATCTCTCAGACATATGCACAATCAGAGTAAGAATTTATTGTTTGTTATCGCCGGGAACTAGGGAAAATAAAGAGTGGTGGAGCTAAAAACTAGACTGTAGACTGGGTCCCGGGTCCATAAATATTCCCCTCGGACGGTACACAGGTTTTATTGAATCGGGCTTATAAATGGCGCCATTTGGCTTAAGTGCCGCCCAGTTGATTGTTGGCCTGACAAATTAATAACATAAATTTTTAACGCCTTCTGCTGACTCTGTGTTTTGTTTTTGTATTTGTATTTGTATTTGTATTGTATTTGTTGTTGCAGGGGCACATCTGGCATCGATATTGACTTGCGGCGCGTGGACATCGACCAGTGCCCCCAGCGCCACACGCCGGGCACCAAGCGACCGCTGAACATCTTTGCTGGCACCGACAAGTGCAAGCAGAGGACCACAATGGTAAGGGAATACACAGAGAAAAATTACACAGATTATCTATAAATTTTATAAGAATATGTGAATGCATGTTGGTAGAAAATTTGAACACAAAACCCATGAAAATACTGGGCATCTACAAGCTTCAGCGAATGTTTAAATAAGAAAGAAAGAAAATAAAAATTAAAGTAAAATAACATAGAAATATAAGAAGAACAAGGATTTATTTAAAAAGATTATCATAGGAAATAAACAGAACTTTTCTGCGGTGCAAACCCTCAAATTCTGCCGCAGTCAGCACTTAATTTTCATCTCTCATTTCACATTTTCCCCCCCAACTTTCCTTTCAAAGTGCGAGGCCATCATGGGATTGGGTTTTCGGCGCGGCTCCTACAAATGCCTGTGCCGCAAGGGATTCTACTTTCCCGACGTGGTCTCGCTGCACAAGTTCTTCAACGGGAGCCTGCTGGAGGAGGAGTACGAGAAACTGATGCTGGTGAGTCTTCATCGCAGCTCCAGAGCCAAGTGGCCCCTGTAAGAGCCTTATTCTCATTAAATATGTATTAGGGCAAGAACTCGACGTATAATAGCAACAGCGAGTACGAGTGCCTGCCGTGCGCCGAAGGATGTGACTCCTGCGAGGACTCCTCGCCCTGCATAGCCGCCCTCAACTGGCCGATGCGGACCAGCATCCTGGCATTGGCCTGCATCGTGATTGGCCTCCTGCCGCCGGCGGCCTGGTTCACCTTCCGCTACCAGCAGGTTAAGGTGAGTACCGCCGGGAATATATCCCCCGGGGAGCCATAAGTATTTCAACACCCCGATAGAAATCTGGGCGAGAAATCAAGTCAGCATTTGCTTAGAGCAGAGCTCAGTGCTTCTCTTTTTATTTTTTTGCTGACGAGGAAGGAAACTGCGAAAATTGAGTTCATTTTCACTTAAGGTTTGTTTAAAAGGCGTGCTTTCTTTTAAAATTTTTATTTAGCAAGAAAGGAAACTATGTTCCGCATCCCAAGTTTACAAACCATTGCACTTTGCAATTGAATTATATTATATTATAGGATCGAATCGGTAATCCATAATAACTAATTCGATCTTTGATATTTTTTTATGTACAAATTTGTTCGACTATTCAAAGTTTAAAAAATTCATAACTAAGCCAAAAAGGCATTAATTTCGATTCGGATAGTTGCTCTGTGCTAGTATTCATAATGTTAACAAATCTGCATAATCAGTTTTTAAAGTTAACAAATTTTAAATTTTGTCAAATTTTAAATATTTGATTAATGTAAAATTTGGACTAAAAAAATTTAAAAATATTTTGCAAAATGAAATTTCTTCCGGACACAGCTAGATCGATTCGGCTGTTTGTGCTGATCAAGAATATATATGGTTTATAGGGTCGGAAATGGTTCCTTCACTGCGTTTTAAGCTTCTGACTAAAATTATAAAAACACTTTTTTAGCTTATATTTATCAATATTTTTATATGACAATTTTTTCAACAAATCAAACATTAATAAATTCATAACTAAGCAAAAAATGCATTTATTTTAATTCGGTTAACTGTTCTCTGCTAGTTTTCATAACGGTAACAAATCTGCATATTCAGTTTTTAAACTTTACAAATTTCAAATTTTGTCAAATTTTAAAAATTTGATTAATGTAAAATTTGGCCTAAAAAATTATAACAATTTTAAAAAAATTAAATTTCTTCCGGATATGGCTAGATCGATTCGGCTTTCGATGCTGATCAAGAAAATATATGATTTATAGGGTCGGAAATGACTGCTTCACTTTCTTTTAAGCTTCTGACTAAATTTTAATTCCTTGCAAGAGTATAAAATTACATTTACAAAGGAAATTGAGTTCATTTCGATTAATGGTCTATTCTAAATAAAGCCAAAGTTTAACTATTTCGTTGGCTAAAAAAAACTTATTTATAGAGCCAAAATGTTTTTGGAGCTTGTCTGTCTAGGTAAAGGCATCCTAATCCGCTTTGGGAAAAGCCACACACTGCCAGGACGAGTTCCGAATCACAGTTGTGGAATTAAAAGCTCTGATAAATCACCGTCAGTGGCAACCGAAATTGTTAAGCCATTATAATGGCATTATCTCCGGTCAGCTTGCTCTCTTGTTATTTTTCAGTCTATATTTTGTATTGCTTATTCCATTTTTTTGTTGTTTTCCGTGTTTGTTCATGCCTCTGTCAAATTCCGCTGATCCTGGGGCCGGGCCAAAACCTAAGCTGTTGTCATCATTGAGCCGCTAAGCGGCTTAGCATTGTTAGAATCGAGTTAATTTTGTACGTGGCTCGGACAGGACATCCTGTCCGATGACAGGCGGGCAGCGGATGTTGTCGCGCATAAACGGAAGTGCAAACATTCGCACAGCTTGCCCACACCCACACCCACGCCAACTTCCTGTCGCCAGGATGCATGTGGAAAGGTCCCAGGTCCTGACTTCATGCAGAGGGTGTCAGTCGCTCATTAGGAGGACGAGAGCAGCGAGTCCTGCAAGCTGGCGGCGTCCAATTGTCTCTGGCACTCGGGATTTAAACCATTCGCAACTTTGTCGTGCACTGCGAGACACTGAGAGAAAATTAACCAACTAAAATGTGTGCCTAATTCATATTACTACACATTTTTCCATATTAAAATTCATAGAAATTTAACTAGGACGGTTTTCGCTTAAAACTATTAATAAAAATAAATTTTATTTATACTTCCTTTCTCTCCTAATTTACTAAATTGTCTCTAATTTCCCTCTGTGCTGTGTCCCTAAGCTTGAGTGTGCAGGAAGGGAGTTATTCTATTCCCTTGTCGCTGTCTGACATTTGTGTTCTGTCTACTGTCTCTATCCTCAGGCCCCAGCCACATCCTATATCCTGTTCCACTTGCCCGCTTCTCGCGTCCCAAGGCAACTGGCCAACTAAACTGTTTTCATTCGTAATGCGATTCTGTCGCATTTGTGTCTCTCCTCCCTTCAATGTCCTTGCTGGTGTGTATGTGTATGTGTGTATGTGCCCAAACTAATTAAATGGCGCTAAACATGCCGCCCGACATCCTGCCAAGAGTGTGTGTGTGTATGTCCACGTCCAACTTTGTAACAGAGTCCTGTAGTGATTTTCTTCCTTCTTCAACCCTGTGAAATTGTGCGGATTAAACGATTTCAATTTAAATTTACAAACTTTTTCGTCCACGAACTAATTGGAAATGTTTTGTTTTGTTTTGAAATTTTCTTACAGGTTGTAAGGGCCGCCAGTCCTGCCTTGTTAAGGGTCATTGCATTGGGCGCCTTCTTTATCTACTGCACGGTAAGTAAATCTTTAAGGATAAGCATTCAATAAGTGTTTAAGGATTTCGATTTATCAGAGAAATAGAAAACAGTTTAATGGAATTGACTTAACTAAATTTTAATGGAGAAGTACAAAGAAATTTAAGGAAATTGCACAATAATACTTGCTATCCAGTGTAATTTCAGTCATTTGATACCAATTGAGTGGCATAATCGATAGCTTTCAATGCAATGCCGAATTAATTAAGAGCATTCGCATAGATGCAAACCGAAAACTGAAACATTTTGGCAGTCCTAAGAGTCTGTTGAACATTATTACAACTCAATGGGATGCTGCGGGGAGTGAGTGAGATTCATTCATTCATTTGAAGCCATAAATCGCCGCACAATTTGCATGCGGTGAAAAATGAGATAGCAAACCGCTTGCCAAACAGAACTCTCGAACCCAATTCCCATCAATTTCTACACAATTTAATTTGATTGATTTATGGCCCCAGACGCAGACCAAGAGAGAATGCAAACTAATGGGCTGCCATGGCGGATGCTGGATGCCAAATAAACAAACAACTTTAGGAGAATCACAGGGGGAGGGAGGGGATTATTTATGTACTATATAACATATATTTATTTGTGGCAGATTTATTCAGTATATCCTGCCTGCACACACGACGAGGGTCCTGCTGTCTGCAGAGTTTGCCTTATGATTTTTTAATATGTGCAAGGCGTGAAAAGAAAGAAAGCTCCAAAAATAGAAGCCAAATCCTCAAAACCCACACTGCCTATTGTCCTTGACAGCCTGCAATATATGTATGAAGGATTTAAGGAAACGGAGGAAGGGAGGAGGAGGTCGACTCCTATTGTCACGAAACATGTGGCTGGATTCCATTGAACCCGATTGTCTGCCATCATCCATATCATTACCCAATGCCTATTATTTCCCTTAGAATGAGTCATAAATACAGTACTTGAATGTGTTCTATATATATATATCAATGTAGCGTATTTTAAAAGTATTAAGCTTGCAATATATTGAAGGAAGAATATATATGGAAAGGAGGGGCTTCTAATGATTTCTGTATATATTCTTGATTGAAGTTGAGTGAAAGGAAGCCTTACCTTCACAGAACAAGAAATTTAATGAAAACGGAAGAGAACACTCAATAATAATCTCTAGGTATTCAAAAATACAACAAAGACACTTTTTAAATTAAATAAGAACCCTCTCTAAAATATATTTCTGGTATATTTTTTCTCTTTAAATATTTATAAATATATTTATGACTTCCAGAACATTGTGATGTATCCCAATCCAAATCTCTACACCTGCACTGCTCGCATTTGGCTCCGCGAAATAGGTTTCTCCTTGACCTATGGAGCTCTGATGCTCAAGACCTGGCGGTAAGTTGTAGTTAACCCATTAAAACACCTTTAAATACGTGTAATTTTCCCTAATTTACCTAATTTTCCCCCCTAGGATATCGGTAATTTTCCGTGTCCGCTCTGCCAAGGCTGTGAAAATCACAGATGCCGCTCTCCTCAAGAGACTGGGCATCATCTGCGGGGCCATTGGCACCTGTCTGCTGGTCAGGACTCTGGTCTCGCCGCCGGACGTGGTCGTGGGACGCACTGCCGATGACCTGAAGGCGTTTCTTTGCAAAACCGACTGGTGGGACTACACATTCACCTCGAGTAAGTTGGGGGAAATATCTAATTCAATATCGCTGGTCTGGCGCTTGATTGGCCTCCGCAGGGGTCCTTTTCAAAAGAAAGAGAGAGCAGCCCGAAATACAATACCCTCGTAACGTATACGCATTGTTGGCCGGGAAAATATGAATTTCGAGGGAGCCAAAAGGCGAAATGCAAAAGTGCAATGGGAAATAAACGTTGCCTGGCCAACCACCAAGGAGAAGGAACACCTGCTGCTTCAAGTGGTTTTCACTAGCTTTTCACTAGCTTTTCCTTGATTTTCACTTTTTTTCCACCTTTTTTGGGTAGTAAAATCCACTGTTGCGTTTCGAAGCTATCTTTTCGCTTAGGGTGGACCTTTAAGAGTTTAATTGAGGATATTTTCTTTTAAAATTGCATTATATATTAAATATACAAGTCTGGTAAATATTCTTCTATTTAAAGTGTAAAGTAAAGTGCTCTTTAAATCTTCATAAAACACCTTAATGTTTGGTCCTCTCAAATATATACAATTGAAAGATTTTCCCCGCCTTTTTCCTGCTTTACCAGAGATATTGGTCCGTGCCAAAATCCATGTTCGAGCCATGGAAGAGTGGCTTTTCCAAGGAATCGCTGCGTTCCACTTGCTAGCTCGTTTAATTAAAAAAGTTGAGGCAATCGCGAGTGCTCCTGCGAGTCCTTCTATCCTGCACAACAATTATCGCCGTTCATCACGCACTCTCGCTGCAGCTGCCAGATGCTAAATAACTTCATTTGACTTTGCAACAAGCCAGAGCTCGTATTACATTTATAATTGCAACCCTGAACACTTTTCCTACCCAAAAAAATAAGGAAATAATAATATTGTACATGCATTTTCATTTCGCTGCCAAAATAAAAGTTTTTGAAATGAAGCTACCACTAGCAACTAGTTCATTTTGTATTTTTGCCAAAAGACTGGGAAACTAAATCATAATGTAATTAAACCAGTTTGTTAATTCAACTTCAAAGTGAAGCTGCGGCAGCCAACGAAATGCACACAAAGGAAGTAATCCCTGGCCTTGTCTTATTTTTTCCCCCTTTTTTTTGCTCTTTTCCAGTGGAGGTCCTGTTCCTGGCCTGGGGCGTTCGCCTGTGCATCATGGTGCGAAAGGCACCATCGGAATTCAACGAGAGCCGCTTCATATCGATGGCCATCTACAATGAGTTCCTGCTCACCTGCTTCCTCAATGTGTCTATGTAAGTATGGGAAATATCTCAATGTAGAGAAAGGTCTATTAATTATTATATCATTATATTTATCCCTTCCCTTGCAGGCTCTTTCTGCAGTCCCCCGCCAATCCAGATTTGCTTTACATCATCTTCTTCTGCCACACCCAGTTGACGGTGACCCTGCTGCTGGCTTTAATCTTTGGCAGCAAGGTAAGTGTCGCTTTCTCCTCTTTCCCCCCCTCATCATTTAGTTGGTTTTTCCCATTTCCACCATTATCTCTCTATTTTTCTCTCTCTGTAACATCAGGTGTACATCGTTCTAAGGAGTGGCAAATCGCATCAGGAGAACATCGGCCTGGGCACCAAGGCATCGGGGGCCAAATTCAATTTTCGTCCTCAAGTGCGCACCTTTGCGAATCCCAGTTCGGTGACCACCTCCACGGTCCCAGTGGCGGGCACAACGTCAGCAGGTGAGTGTTGTAGAGGACAGACTAGCCAGCGGAGTGCTCCTCCAGCGATAGCCAAAACCGGCAATTGGTCCATTTGCCCTAATGGGTCGCAGCGAATCGACGTTTATGACAAACGACAGTGTCCACTTGACAAATGATCTGTGGTGTGGGGGCAGATAGAAAAAGGAAAAACTCTCCTTGGTATGCACTGAGCGGAAAGCTATGCGCTATATATTTCAGAATATTAGCAATCTTTAAGAATTAGGTATAATTAAGAATGATTTTTCATGGAGAATACCAATATTTAATGCTTTGATATATAAATCGATACTTTAACGTTGCTATACATTTGTGATAAATCGACTATTATGTTTGATACATATACAAATTAAATTCAGAGATTGCTTCGAACCATTCTAATCGAAAAAAGAATGAAGTTCCTTATAAAATATTGTGTAAAAAATTAGCATTGAGCAAATGTTGGTTTATGATTTAGTTTATAGAACTTTGAGCCCATTTTTATTTCACAGTGCACTGCATATAAATTTTCCCACTATGGTTGATTCTTATTAATGGTTTAGCATTTGACAAATATAGAATAATTTGTATAGAAAATCAATTGAAATTCTAACGAAAAGCAAATGAACTAGACTAGAGTTTGCTTGGCTTATACTTAATAATACAAATTCCTTCTTTATTTATGAAATATATGCTTTGTTTAAGTCTTGAATTTCCCGACTTTCTTGAATTTAATTTAGATTTCTTTTTCTCCCAGTGCCCTTTGTCGATTAAGTCTTCTTCGCCGCTCTGACTTTTATTTATGGCGTATTATTTGGCAAATTAAAAAATGAGCGGAACAGGCGGCGTCAGTGGCACGCTTATCGCTGTTGTCTAGACATGAGCCGCGGATGGCATCCTATCCTATCTGGTTGACAGCACCGGATGCTGATTTATGTGCTCCAAAACAATCTGGGCTGCGGTTGGCTTGGAGTACCTTGGAGAGCTATGTGTGTGGGTGTGTGTAGATGTGTGTGCGAGTATGCTTTCACGGCAGGAAGCAGCTACAAAGCACAAACTTCCGCCAAGTTGCCGCCGACGCCATATTTGTTTATCGCTTCGCTGGCTTTGATGAATAAACAACTATGCGAACTCCCCGAAGGATCCAAATAGACCAAAGCCAGGGCATCGGTGGAGGTGAAGAGATGGTTGTGGGTTGTGGGTTGTGGGGTCAGGTGGGTGGCGTTGCCCTTTGGCCCTTACACCACCCAGAAGGAATGTGGATTACATTGGGTGTGGGCGGTTGACTTTAAAGTGGCGCCGAGTCTGTAATTGAACTACAGATTCACGCAAATGCCACGGCAACCGTTGGGCCAATCAATTTTGATTAGAATTCCAAGCCGAAGCTCGGGCTTCAAGTACAACTAATTGCTCAAAGTTTCCCGGACAGCGCTTCCTTATGCCGGAAATTTTTCGCCTCATTGCCATTACTAATAATAAATTCTATTGAGACAAGAACATGAAAGAGAATATAATATTAGCTAAAGGCTAAAGCTAATAATGTGAGTATACACAGAAATGCTAAACCAATTTATAAAGAGATGGGAAAGTATTTCAAATCACAGGTATGAAATAAGTCAAGATTTTGTTATTTAAATACTGGATATTTGTGGAATTTAAGGAAGTGTTGTATTTGTATTTTTTTGGTGTAAAGAAACCTAAAAAAATATACAAAAAAAAATGCATAACGCCACCCGATTTTTTAGGCTCTCTTGTAATAAATAAATAAAAAGTGTTCATTATAAAAAAGATAATTGCAGTACCTTTTTAAGGCAGAAACCAGAAACACCTTCACAAAAAAATTAGCTATTAAAATATATATTTCGAATGGAAGTAAATTGCCAGCATTATGGCCTGCAGTCCTCCCTATAACCTCCCTAAAATGTGGATCCTTTTTTGCCTTTACCTTCCATTGTTATCGCAATGTTTTCTATTCGCGAACCTTTTTAATTTTCTGCCTCCCCTTTGGAAGTTTATGGCATAAAGGCGACGCTTTATGTTTTAATGCTTTATAGGCGCTCCCTCATTTTTTATTTAATTTTTATTACTCGTATTTCTATTTTAAAACACAAAAAAAAGAAAAACGTAACGCGTTTTTGTGGCTGCGTAAATTGTGCGTTAAATTTACATTTTTTGTGTGCTGCGCGGCGTCCTTGTCGCTGGGCCAGTTTTTTAAGCGGCTCTCAATTTGCATATTTAAATTGAACAATCACAAAGTAGCAAACACTCAACACTCCCACACACACACACACACACACACACACACGCATGCCGATTGTGCGTCTGTGTGGCGAATTTAAAATATTTCCCAAGCGCAAAAGGAATATTGTGTTGCATACTAAGAGGGGCACACATAATAAATTCAATTTTGGCCACCGACGACTCTCCGGTCCACTTGGCTCCGCTTAATTTCACAGCCATAAATCTAAATTCAACGGACAACAGGAAGAAAGCTTTGTGCGGCTAATACACTGAGCGGAAATGGGGATTCCCAGGAAGAAATTTCCCTCAGAACAAGTCTAGATTTCACACAAAAGCATGCAGTATGTATGTGTACATCCTTTCAGTGTGCGATTTTTCATTGTAAATTTATTTGTTTTTCTCTCTTTATTATTTGAAAGTTGATAGCGTGAGTTGTTGTTGCCTTTGAGTGGACGTGGCTTAAATCATACCGACAGGCTTTCAGCCGAATTGAACGGCCATTTATCATTCCGAGGAAGTCGTCTCCAGTCTCGAATCTGAAGTCTTAAAAGCCACAACTTTCCTGGCCACACATCCACAGCCGCTACAAACATTACGCATTTAAATTTGAGGTCCTTTTTTTTAAGGACTGACAGACAGGCAGGCAGGGGAAAGGGAAAGGGAAAGTGCGAAACTTTTGACACGGACGGGCAACTTTTTTAGTGCAAAAGTTGGCCAGCGGAAAACAGGCAGCAAAAACGATGCTTTCAGTTGAGTTTTGGTACAGCGAAAAAGGGATCCTATTTCGCCTGCATTTGTAGCGACATTTGGTTAACCTTTTCATTTACAACATACAAAAAAAGATAAACTAAAACTTAAGTCTTTGGATTACAGTAGAATTTACCTCCTACTCTCTCTTTAAACTAATACATTTTAAAAGCATTTCTTTACCTTTAAATACTCTCTCTTTATCCACAGAAAACAAGCTCTCCGATCAGGAGGCTTTGGAGGAGATACGTCAGCTTAGCATGCAGCTGCAGCGCATCCAGGAGATGGCTCCACCCAAAGGTGTGGCCGTAATGACCATATCCAGCCTGCTGGATGGCTTGAAGACACCTGGTGGCCTCATGGTGGTGGCAGCGGCCGCTGGTGCTGGCCACTCGGCCACCGCGGCAGCCAGCCGTCAGAGTGCTCTGCCCCTCCTGGCCCTCAATGCCGAGATGCAAAAGTACAGCCAGCAGAATAACAATGCGAATGGCAGGAGCAGTGCCCGCGCCAGTATACCGACCATGGTGCTGGAAACGCCTCCAAGCTCGACACCTCCGTCGACGGCCTTTGAGGAGCGGGCCATGAACACGGAGCTGAGCGGAGATGACTTCCGGGAGCAGCTCCTGAGGCGAACTGCCGATGGGCACATCATCTGCAGCAGGTGCTTGGATGCGTCCAAGGAGCACTACTACTGCTGCCCGCCGAGGAGTGTCTGCGACCACTTGGGGTCGCCGCAACAGGAGGCTGGAGGCAGTCTAAGCTTTGCCAACATTAAGCTGGAGTGCATGTGCTCCCAGTCGGAGGATCTGGACCAGGACCGGGATCGGGGGGATCAGCGGCAGAGGAGGCCTACGGTAAGGACTGCGGCCACCAATACTCCCCCAACCAGCTGCAAGCGGGCTGCACGGAATCTCCTCGAGACGGAGCTCAGCATTTCGTATCAAATTTGTGATAATTGTAGAAGTAAGTACAAGCTGACGGGTCGAAGGCGAAGCGGCAGCTACTCCCAGGCCCAGGCGAATGCCCAGCTCTGCCAGCAGCAGTTGCCAGGAGTACCGGCGATCCAGTCCCGATCCAGCGAGATCCTGGATCGTACAGCCATAGCCAGCGATGTGGAGACGGAGTCACGAACCAAGGCAGCTCACTCCACCGACGACATTGTTCTTTACTCCAGTTCGGAGAAGGAGTTGAAGGAGGCTGTGAGGGACCAATCCCAGCTGGAGGAGGAGCCTGTGCCGGCTCCCTCCCTGGGGAACGTTTCTGTGGCTTCCAACAACTCTACGAGTCAGACGGACAAGACCAGTGGCAGTGGCGGAAACTCCAGACCAAAGAGACCAGATAAGCTAGTCCTGGATCTGAACGATCGGTCCAAATACACCAAGGAGGTTTCCGTGTAAAGAAGGGGAGATGTTCATAGGTAAAGTTATTCAATTTTTAAAATTGTTTTCAGGCGGAATAAATGAGTGAATAGTGCCGAAGCCTTTAAGTTAATTAATTATGCTGGAAACCTGTAACTAAAAGAGCTCTAAGTAACCAGAGAACTGTAAATACTTTCAATAATTTTCCACATTTTCCATTTGTATAAGGCTTGAATTTATCATTTTGCAAATATCACATATATATATTTATATGCATTGTTGAAGGGTATAATTTTGGAAATGAGTTTCCCAATGCAACCCGAATTTATACCTTTAAATACAGACAAACCAAGTTTCTCCATTCGGTTTCGGCTTTAAAATTACAAAAATCGTTAAACAATTTTCACCGAAGAAGAGTTTTATTATGCTTAGGAGGCCAGTTGAAAATCACCAAAGACTTTATTAAATTGTATTTATAGATAAACTGATTGATTTAGCTAACTATAGGTATAAGTTTAGGGCCCAAAACACCTGGTTTTGAGGCAATAAAGAGTGGGGGAGCTGTGTGCAATGTGATTTGCAATTTGCATTGCTAAGCGAAATCATCATTTGCAACTATAATGAGCCCCGTGAATATATGTTGTGAATATATTTTGCATTTGGCAAACATGCAGAGAGCAGCTCGCCAGCCCACTGGCTAAAGTCAACAACATTCTGCCTGAAAGTCATTTGTTTTCGGCCGGAATTAAATTAAATTTACATTTCCATGTATGTATGTAGATAATTAAATCTAAATTGCTTACTAATTGAAAACTGCAGCGAGTCATTTCCCATGAAAATGATTTAGATAATACTCATAATGATGGTGGTAAAATGCATTTGCTGTTATATTTATTAAGTCATGTTTAAGTGCCGAACTATTGAAAATGGAAGCCCAACCACACACCAAAAAACACACAGAGAGACGCTGTAAAATATATATTAAATAAAAGTTGATGTGAACTGTAAAATACACATATCTCTTTGAAAACTCACACTATACCTTCCAACCCTAAATATATAGTGAGTGAATAATGTTTAGCCCTAATTGTAGCTACAATTAACTACTACATTAATTAGCTGTCCTACACTTAGAGCTGCAAAAAAATAAAAACAATGAATAATCTCCACCATCGATTCAATGCTAACAATTGCCCACCCCATGCGAATTGTAATTTAATTTTGGAGAAATCAGATGATGTACGATGTATTTATGTAATGTAGTTAAGCGTTGCTGTTATCGAGTTGGAAAAAACACACATCTCTGTGCGTGTGTGCGGCAAAAAGCAAAAGAAAAAGTTTGTTTAAAGCAATCCAATAAATGGCGAATCTACTGAATTATATACCGAGTACCCGCCGACTTTTGTTGATTACAAATTTCAGCAGCACAAAGGACTGCGTTGTTCTCTAACGACTTCATTAAGTATACGCAGCGGGGTACAAGCATGCATTTCGGGTGAGTATCTCCTAGTATCTATTCATATGTATCTGCTGTGTCCTGTGTATCCTGTGTGAAGTGTTTTGGCGCCTTTTTGCGCTTTATGAGCACGTTATGGTTTTTATCTTTATGGACATGCCTGCGTGTGACCCTTTTTTGCCATTTATGCCTGCCATTCCGGGAATGCCTTTTCAACTCGACACGAGAATGTTGCCGCTTTTTGAAGGAGACGTTAATTTAAATGTTTTACGGCCTCATCGGATGTGTTGTTCTGTTTGTTTTTCTACCCAGTAATCAGAGAAATGGAAGGGTATTTATAAACCTAAGAAACAACAGATCTACAAGTAAGTGTTTCAACAAAATCTGACTTAAAAAAAATTCAAAAGGAGTTGATTAATCATTAAGTAGATAATATAATAAATATATTTCTACTGACTCTATAAATTTGAATAGAATCTGATAGTAAACATTGATATTATTTTAGTTAGGAACCTTGGTTGCAAGATAAAATTGTGTATATTTTGTATTTCTACGTTATCCCTTTTTTAACTACCAGGTACCCCTTGGTCGAGCATCTTTCCCCATATCCTTTCCTCTTACTTGTTTTGTTTTCCTTACATTTTGCTTTGTTTTGTCTTCTGTTTGTGTATCAAATTAAACTTCAGCAGTCAGGCAGACGACATTAGTGTTATCAGGCGCTCGAAGGACATCCAGGATGCGTGCGGTGTGCGTGTGTGTATTGAATTTTAAGCACTCGCTTCGGAAAAGTGAAAATTCATTTCGAGCCGCACGTCCTGGGAGTTTTCTTTAAATTGAATTTCAATCATTACACCACGCCAAATATTTCGGAATATAAAATATATTATATATATATATCTGCCTTGCTGAGAGTAATTTACAACCGAATTTCATCTTCGCAGTTCCAGCACGTGACAACATTAATTAAACTTTCAGCATATGCGTGTCAGCCGCATGTCCCGGCGCTTGGAAAATGGAAAATATGGGGGAGGGTAAAGTGCGTAACTAAGGGCGGGCGGGGTCGCCATGGCCATAAAGTCATAAGGTTTAAAAATCAACATTTTCATTGCCCCACAATTTGCGTAAATTATGCGTTAATTATACGCGAAAAAAATTGTCGATCAAATTTACTTCATTATTTGTATCTTTTTCTAAGTTAATATTAAGTTAACAGCAGTTAAGTTAACAGCAGTTATATTCGGAAAGCTCTTCTAAATTCTTATAAACAACTTAAAAAATTAAAACATCCCCAAAGAATACAGTTTTTGAATTTGAGTAAAAGAATATCGAAATAAAAACAATATAAAATTAAATAAAATTAAATGTTTCACTTACTTGTTTTTTAGTTAACTTTTTTCTTCTTCTATGTCTTTTTTTTGGTTGAGTTGGAAAATAAATTACACACAGAACACATCTTTTAAACTTTTAAATATCAAAATTTGTGTAAATTATCCGAGAAACTAAATTAGGTCATATTAAGTTAACAGCATTAATTAAAATTTGAAATGCTGTTATATTTCAATTTCTTGTTTGGTAAAAAATATATATATATTGTTATAATATTATATTTTTGAATTATTGAATAATTCAACACGATTTGGATAATATATTGAAATCGCCATTCACCTACTAAATTTGCTGTAAACAACTTTAAAAATCGCGAAATATCGTAGTCCAAACAATAAAATTTATGCATTTTAAGTAAAAGGACATCGAAATAAATTCAATAAAAATATATCAAATAAAATATAATTTCTCACTTACCGATTTTGTCATTTTTGTTTTTTCTTCTTCTTCGTCTGTTTTTTTGTTGAATTTGAAATTAACGGAACGCATCAAAGTCTCGCAAAGCTCTAATTTGGTCTCTTTCCTTCCTTTCTCTTTGATTTTGGTGGCTAATTTTTTTCACTCACACAATTATTTATGTATTAATTTCTTCAAACACTTAAAAAACAAAACAAAAATTACACTTAAAAAAAGACAAGAAGAAAGGAAGGAGCTCTAAAATAACACACACGAAAACACTTTATTCAGCGCGGCACTTTTATATTCGCTTTTTATTTACATTTACCGCTTTAAAAACTGTTAACTTAAAGCACAGAGCGAGAATGCTAGTTACTTTTCATTTCCTTATATGGAGATGTTCTTTGCCATGCACAAGCACACAAACATGCAGTGACTGCGACACCCGCATACATACATACACATATGTCCGCGGGAGTCCCAAGTGTTTTTGTTGCAGTTTACATACTTAAATTACACTTTTATTTGCCAAATTCCTTGCAAATGTCTTATTTATATCACGTATGTTGTTATTTATTAGGTTGAAGTCGGGATTTGCACAATTTAAAAGTTTTCGTCAATCCGTTTTCAGCTGCCACAACTTTCGGTGGAGGGGGAACCAGCGCTCACTTCACTTTCGCATCAAATCTTTATAAATTCACTACCTTGATGCTTAATTTAAGTGTCCCCGCATAACACTCACTTAGTTCAACTGATTTAATTATTTTGTTGGTATTATTAAGCATTTTATCAGACGAAAAACATTTTTTTAGCAGCAGCGCGGCAAAATTTTTCACTTTGGCGGTTTTATTTACCTTTTCTTCCTCCCCTTTTTCTTTTGCTCTGCTCTCTCTCGCTCTGGAATGGTAAACGATCTGGCCGTGCTTTTTGAGTGGCGAGAGAGCGAGAGAGAAAGGTTTGGGAGAGCGCAAAGCTCGAACTTACCAAATAGAAGAGGAAAACAAGAATCGAAATTGCAAGTGTAAAAGATGTGCTGCTGCTAAAAAGTGTTGTTTAATTCGATAAAACGCTTAATAATACCAACCAAACAGTTAAATCAAATAAACCAACTGCATTTTATGCAGGGACTGTTGAATAACATAAAACAAGCAAAGTTTTTTAGATAAAATGTAAATGTGAAGTGAGCGCTGTTCTGCATCCAACTGGTGGCGTGACAAAGGAAAAGGGAATGTGAAAAAATCGTATGTTGTGCAAGTGCCGAAGTAAACTATATTAATAGCTACACAAGTGATTAAAAGGAGACATTATAAAATCAGTTAGCAAGTGGATATCGAATTAAATCCACTAACCAGCAATAAAAACAACTAAGACACCTGCGGACAACAAGTGGAGCTGCAGCCGCCAATATGCATACATATACGTATGTATGTTGGTATTTGTGTGTACAGGCACGGCAAGTAACCTCACCGCGAAAGGGAATGCAAAGGAACTTTTTCTCGCTGTGCTTTTTGAATTAACTGTTTTAAAAGCTACAAATGTAAATTGAAAGTAATTGAAGTGCTTTAAAAATACCAAAAATGCAGTGTGTGTTTTCGTGTGTGTCATATAATAGTTCCTTCCATTTCTTTCATTTTTTGTTTTGTTTTTTAAGTGTTTAAATAAATTAATACATTACTAATAGCCACCAAAAATCAAAAAGAAAGGAAGGAAAGAGACAAAATCGTTGTGTAATTTAATTCCCAATTCAACAAAAAAGACGAAGAAAAAACAAAAAAGAGAAATTCGGTAAGTGAAAAATTAATTATATTTTTACATTGAATGTATTTCGATATCCTTTTACTCAAAATGCAAAAATTGTATTGTTTGGCCTAGAAGATTTAGCGATTTTTAAAGTTGTTTACAGCAAATGTTGTAGGTGAATGCCGATTTAAATTTAAATAAATTTAAAATTGGTATTAACTTAGCGGGACTTAAAAATGTAAAATGCAAAATTGAACTTAAATTTTTTTAATAATTAACTGCAATTATAATGCAACTTGATGGACATAGGGCTGCCTCCTTGCGCCTGTTTCCGCTTGGAGGGTGATACAGATTTATATTTATTTTTATTTTCCCCGGCACTAAAGTCCGAAAAAAAATGGCCATTTATTGGCGCAATTGTAAATCGCTATATTTTCCATTCAACTTTCACCACTTTCCATTTAATTGCTCTGGAAAAAAAAGTAAAATATATAAAAGAAATCCTGATGACAAGCAATTGAAAAACTGTTCTCAATTAAAAATATTTCAATTCAGTACTTAAACTTGATATTTTAAAGCAGAAAAAACAACAGAAAACTATCTAAATTAGGTTAATTAAGTGCTTGGGAAATTGCATTTAAAAATATTTAGGCAATAAATCCCCCTTTAAGGAAACTTTGATCGAAATTCCTGGAAAATTTCATAAAATTTAATGACCAAGGGCCGGTGCTGCCTTGTACTCCATCGAGGGTGGCATTAGGATCGTTTAATTAAACGCCTGTTGCAGAAGCCGGGCCACCGAAAAGCCGGAGAAGATGGCAAGGACTTTCTCCTTTCCCCTCCCAAAACTGGGTCATAAATTTCAAAGCGAATTGAGTGACGCTGCTGAAGGGAAGGCAGGATGTGGCGGCGATGCCAGGATGCGAGGTGAGGCAAATTTCCGGCTCGGGCCGTTTTCCAAACAAAGAAAATGGCACTTACCAGAAAACACAAATTGCTTTTTGCTCTCTTTTTTTCCCTTGCCGTCTGGCAATTGCAAAATCTTCAGCACAAATTTATTTCCATGTCGATACTGCTGCTGCTGGTCTTTGATGGCCAGCTTGCTTTGTTTTGAACCCGGTCTAAAGCCAGTGCGTTACGGCGTATTTCAAGGATTTTTTCCATCTCTTAATTACGGCAATAAATGCCAATGGCAATTTCTTTGGCATTAAATAAGAACATGTTAACGACCTGCCAAGCCTTCAAATTGTATATAAAAAAAAGGAATCTAGCACACATGCCCCCAAAAAACAATTGGGGAAGTCCCTTTTC